CTCCCAGAGAGACGGCTTGCAGAGCTCCTGTTGCAGCTCATCGCTACCCGGCTTACACGCATCCAACATGCCAAGAATCAAGCAGCGAGGTCGCGCTTTGGTCAGCGCCGCAGTGAGATATGGAGCAGTATGTGGAGGAGTGCCCGCTCCGACCGACGCTGGCTTGTCAAAGTCCAGTGCCAATTCAGAGAGCTGACACATGAGGCCGAGCGAGACCCAAGTAACTGCCGTTCCCGCAAACGAGTGCAGCGACCGCCATTCCATCTCGTCTCGTGAGGTATTCACTTGGCGTACAGCACGGTATGGGATCTCAAGACGCCGAAGGTTCGGGAACACCACCGGCAAGTTCTGCGATGTGAATATGGGCGAGTCGGGGACTGAAATACTGTGGATACGGAGGTGGGACATACGGGGCCACGGGTTACACGATTCCATCGGTGGGATAGAATGATTTGATATGTTTGTCAGAAGCAAGGTCTCCAGCGTATCCCGACATGGCTCCAAGAGACCCGATATGCCCAACCACTCCTCTTCGACAATCTCCAGAGAGAGCCACCTTAACGGAGCCCGACGTTCCAACTGCAAAACATGGCCTAATAACTGAATAACACTTCTCCCCGTCAAAAGCAGGACCTCTGCACGCGCGAAACTCGTGGCGAGTGCGTTCGTCAGGATGGGATAGAGTTGGAGGTGAGTTATTTCGGAGACCCCTAGCGACTTGAGATTCACCGCAGATTGGAGAAGCGGAGCTAGCAAGGTTTCTAAGACTTCCGAGCCGCTCAATGCTTCTCGGGCCTCTAGTCCTTCTAACCCGCCTAATTCCCCCAGGTCATCCACCTCGACATGACAAGCAGTCAGGTCCAGTCGGAGTGACTGAAGCAACGACAACCGCGGATTACTAGCCAGCATGAACCGGCAGAACGAAGCAAGTTTGGGGAGGGGGGAGTCGCATTTCCAGAGGGAATCGGCTTGACGAACCATCTGATTCCTGCATACCTCCAGCAAGGAGGATGTGGTAACCAAAAGGCAAGCAAGATCCTGTGTGTCTAGATATACGAGAATAGTGATCAGGACATCATAGCTGCAGTTGATTAGGTCCAGTAAGTGCATTCTACCTGCAATGATGTGCAAAGAACTTGTTAGACGCCGCATCAATTTACTCAGAGTTACAGGCAATAGACTCTGTAGGGCATGGAGGAAGCATTGATTCCGCAATTTCAGGGGTTAAACAATCCTGGAGGCTTATCAGTGTGTGCCTTGCAAAGCGCACCAGATCAGTGTTGTACTGGATGGGCCCGGAGACAAGCATACTGGAGCAGTCCCAGTGGAAGAGGCACGTGGCATTGCCGAAGACACCCATGGTGAAGAGGAAGCACTGCGGGGCAGCGAAGGGAGGACATGACAGCAGCTGGTTCCAGGACTCGACGTTGGTCTGGTTCATCTTGGGGGTGTTCTTGAGGTCTGCCTTTGTACGGCCAGAAGGGGTCTTTGTTCTTGGTGGCTTTGACTTCGATGAAGCCGAGCGAGTGTGCCCAATAAGTGTCCTTTGAGGAGGAAGGGAGGAAGGCAATGTCTGGCGCAATCCGGTACCCGCCTTTGGATTCTTGCTGGTGTTCGTCGGCAGAAATGTGGAACTGGAAGGGGGAGAGGCTGGTTCTCGACGGTGTTCTCACATATGTAGTTCAGAGCATCAACCTCACAAACATAAGTATAATTACAAAGGGTATAAACTAGCATGATATACTCACAATACTCGCGTACATGGCCTTCTCAGATGGTGCTCCAGAAGGCTTCACACTTGGTTTCACTTCCTACAAGCATTTCTTGAATTCTTTGAAGACCGTCAAACAACCCGAGACATCAAATTCCGGAAACAACTCATCTAGAAACTCATAGACATCGACCAGTCCACAGAGGTGCTCGGTAGCCTCAGTGCCGGCCAGGATGCAATGGTTTGAATGGGATTCCTTGAACTGGATAAACGAGTTGAGATGGTGAGCATGAGAAAGTGTGGAAACAGATTTCGCGCTCCGTTTGATTAGCCTGACGACGGTGGAACCCAGGCCGAGGCGGGTGCGGGGAGGGGTAGGAGCAGTTGCAGTGTGCATCTCGTCAAAATCCTCCATGCATCAGTAACTTTTGAGGAGCATATGTACAAAGGCGTCCCTCCGTATCCTCCATCTTTTTAAATTCATGTTGTGCTTCAATGCTATGGCCGTCGTTGAAGGTAGGGCCCTGGTCTGTTGTCGGTGCTAGACATAAAGGCTTTGTGCTAAATTTGGCATCCATCTGAGACAGCATCACAGCCGCATTACTACACGTGCATGTCAGGCATGCGCGACATCGTTTGGGCCTACTGACCAACAATTGTTACAAGTCCTGAGTTTATGAAGGATGAGTCCTTACCCGCAAAATTGGGTGCGTGCCGAACGTTGTACCCCGTGGGAATCGCAATGCCGAGAATGCGTGCGACTTTTTGGTGGTAGTCTTGACTACACTGTTTAATGTCCGCTTTAAAGTCCGCTTGTATCGGAGACTACAAAAAGACTACAAAATTGGATTTGTAGTCTCTGTTTTCAATAATACTGTGTTTTCGTCCTGAGTTTTCAGTGTATTTCCGTGGTTTCTTCTATGAAGAGGTTTTTTTGGGTCGTCCATCCACTGGAATATTTTGAGCATTTAATCATATCTCCTTCCTTTACTGCATGCACTTTGTCGGGTGTGGCATGTTGTTACCATGGGAATTGACTTCTGTGGCTGTGTGTAGTTGGTGGCTGAGGTGCCGCGCCGGTTGGGATCTCTGGCTGCTCATTGGCTCCTGCTTACTAGACATAGCTTGACTGCAGAAAGTGCATTTCTGTAGTTGAGTGATGTCATAGTTGCCCACTCGCTCATTAGTCTAGTACTTGCAGCAGTTGAAGCATGTCAACTTGGTGGGCTGTGCTTCCTTTTAATCCAATCATTACTGGTACATACACATTGATCTTATGTTGGCTATAAGAGGTTCTTGAATGTTGCACTTGTGTTCTGAAATAATATGCTGACTGCTGAATAGTTTGATGGATTGTTTTTTACACACATAATCTGAGTCTATGTGTGGGTGGCAGGGACTATGATACAATTTCTTCAGTCACAGGCATCTTGGGCCTGTATTTCTCAATCGCTGCTGCCTCTGGAACCCTGATTTCTTCCACTCAGTGGTATCTATATGTCCTCTTGAGAAATTGAAGCTAGTACATGTGTAATATATATTTCATTTCTGCTCCCAGCTGCTTGGAGTATTGTTTGAGTACCCTTTCTGATGACTGTCCTTCAGCTTGGTTTGGGAAATGAATGCAAGGGAGCTGCCAATCAAGGATTGGCAGTGGACGACCACTCTGGTTCTGGTAGGATGTTACCTGGAGTCTGCAGGTATTATTGACTATCTCTTCCACTGGGGACAAGAGACCTGTGTCACAGAGCTGCCAATCTTTGATTGCCAGCAGAGGAGCACTTTGATCTATGTTACTTGTGTCTAGTAGTGCAGCTGCTACTTTGCCTTGTGCTAGGTACAAATAAAATTTTGTAGTCTTTTTGTAGCCACCAATACAGACCAACTTTTAATATATCAGGGTGGCAGGGACTTTTATGGTACAATGATGGTAGAGCCACAGGAGGACAAAGTATGAATAAAGGGGACATTGCAGATACACATCTAAGGGAATTCAATATGTGCATAAGAAAGAGTACTGTATACATCAATTGGAACATTTATACACCCAATGCTAACACTTATCAGACACAACTCAGGACTCATGTCCTGCCATGCATAGCAATGGCCCTCTACTGACAAGTTTGTTCATACGAATTGATGCATCTCGCGGCATTGAGCAGGCGAGAGAACCGACTCCAGGCGTCAGGTCTGTCCCAGCTGGATCAACCGTTGTCCACTCAGTCTTGATTGGCAAGTGGATGGACAGTGGCAGCGCCGCGCTCTACATTTCTTCATCATTTTACCAGATGCAGCCACCAGCGCACAGCGCGCACTTCGTCGTAGTCCCCGCGCACGACATGCACGTCCGCGGCGACGGTCTTGAGCCACCCGTACGCCTCCTTGTCACTGGCAGACATTGCCCATTCACAAGATCTGCTGGATTTTGCCTGGCACGAGCACTTTCTTGAATTTCGCAGGCAGATCGTGCATGCGGTGCAGGTCCCCAATGAGCAGAACGAGGACCATCGTGGCGAGCAGAGTACGGTAGCAGGAAGAGACAAGTCACAAGCTGCAGCTACGCGAAAGGGTGACTGTGGCTGTAGCCGAATATAATATTCCTTGTTTTTCACCAGTGCTCTATCATACAGCTACAGTCCCGGACAAGCAAAGGCAACAAATTGATTTCTGACTGAACGAGATTTTTTGGCGGGAAACTGAGTTCAGATTCGGACTCAGGGAGGCTGGAAACATCCAAAAATAAAGTCCTCCGATTTTTCCCACGACTTTTTGATACGGCCAAAATTTTGGGCCATTTGAATGAGATTCTATACCGTTACCGGACCTCCCAGATTACATCCTGAGCCTTTGGGGACCTGTAAACCCTTGCATGGAGCTGCATCCAGGCTTTTGAAGACTACAGACCCCCTTCTGAGGCCCAAAGAAGTTCAAATTTATGAGACATGTTACCTTCATTGCCATATTTGGCCTGCACTTATGAGAGCTATTATGGCATATCGGCTGATCCTATTATTAGATTTAAGCTGGAATCAGACTCAGCTCATTGAAAGGAGTCGATTGGCATATTTTCCGCATTTTTCCCGATTTGTTTTGTATACGGCCAAAATTTCCGCCCATCCCGACCCATTATTGACTGCTACAGGGGGTTTATGGGAAATTTGCTCGTGCCAATCTCTTCCTTAGGGTCTAAATCACTCATTTCTGCAATAAAACCGGGGTTCCCACGGCTTCTGGACCTCCGGAATTCCGGTCACCCAATTTGTTGTCTTTGCTTGTCCGGGCCTGTAGTCCGACCATGGCACACAGTCTCTCCCCGAAATGCACACCTCTCAAGCACAAATACGACGCCTGCTTCAACGCGTGGTTCGAGGGCTACCTCGAGCGCGCTGTCTCGTCCGCCACCGCGCCGTCCGAGGAGCGCCAGGCGTCCTCACGGCGCAAGGCGGGGGAGTATGAAGCTAGCTGCTGGAAGATTTGGACGAGCTACTGGGAGTATGTGCAGGTGCCTCTCTTAAGCTTTGGTAGCGGGCGGGAGAAGCTGAATGAGGGAATTTGTACACCAGCGCTGGCATCTTCGGATGCCTTCACTTCAGTAGCCCGACCTGCGTCTTTGTAAGAAAGCTCTGTTTTCTATCTCGACAGCAACTGCGGTAGGGTCAATGTGGCATGTGTTCTAAAAGGTAGAATGGATAACACCGTTAAAATAACCGTACCCCAAGAGACGTTTTCACAATTGTCGCTACGGCGGAGTCGAGACTAACAAACTCCACACTCCTATCACCCGGGGTCACTCCCATACCGCTCGTATGCCTGCGGATCCTGTACAAATAGCGGTAGGTTTGATTCACGATACGGTCCCACACTGCGATCTCCACATAATTCAGCGTCAATGGGCCATTTGACAAGCCGCGCCGAACACGTTTCGTCACATCTCGCAGGAGTCTGGCGGGAGATATCACTCGCCTATTGCTGTCCATCCCAAACTCCTCCGCATATTCGGCATTACGGCAGGTCGATAGGAAGAGTGATAGGTAGGAGAACCGTGCAGCTTGCACTGATTCGAAGAGTCGATCCTATATACTTATCAGCGAGGCTACGAATCGGTCATCAACTTACTCACCAAGAATTCAAGAAGTCGACTGCAGCAAGGTCCCTCAGTGATAGTCAAGTGGGCATACTCCATGTGCAGCGCATCGCTCCAGAGTGACGGTCTGCAGAGCTCGTCCTCTAAATCTTCATCGAAAGGAGTACAAACATCAAAAATCTCGAAGCTGAAGCACCGAGGCTGGCCGAGTCGAAATGCAGTATAAAGATGCCGGGCAGAGTTTGGAAACCTGGGTTGGTAGAGAGCCCAATTGTCACCGTCTAAATTTAACTCCAAAAGTTGGCAATTGAACGCGAGCGACACCATTGTCCTCGCGTGACCCGAAAACGACAGTAATGTCCCCCATTCACACTCGCCTTCGGCTGCCTCGTCTCGCGACACAGCTCCAGATGGAATGCGAAGGTGTTGAAGATTTGGGAAAACCATTCGTAAGGTTTGTGATGTAAAAATTTGTGCGACCGGGGGCATATAGCTGAAGATAGCGAGTTCTGACATAAGGGGCCACGGATCGGATGACTCCAGGGGTGGGATAGGACTCCCGTCAAGAGCTCCGAGATCTATGGCTAGATACGTAAGGGTGTTCCGGCAAGGTTCTAGGAGACGCCAAATGTCCACCCAACGCTCGCCCGGCCTCAGCTGCAGAAAGAGTCGAGACAGTGGAATCGTGTGATATAACTGCAACATGTGGCGCAGCAGTTCGATCAGATTCCTCCCCGTCAACTTCAACGTCCGGGTACGAGCGAAAGCGGCCACAAGAGCAGTCTTCAAGGCGGGAAAAGATTCGAGGTCCCCGACACCGGCAATAGTGAGTCTGCTGAGGTTGACTGCGGACTCGAGAAGGGGCGCCAACAGTGTCTCCAAGAGCTCTGTGACTCTCAGCTCTGCTGGCTCGTCTAATCCCAGCATTGCATCCAATTCCCCAAGATCGTCCAGTTCGGTATAGCAGGCTGTCAAGTTTACGAAGAGCGTTTCCAGTAGCAACAATCGAGATGGCTTGCATAGCATGAATCGACAGAAAGAAGCGTACGTCGAAAGGGGGAACTTTAAGGTCCCGTGGAACTCGACATGCTGAACCATTCGGTCCCTACATATGTCCAGCAAGGAAGAAGTAGTGACCGAAAGGCGTGCAAGGTCTCGCCTGTCGAGATATGAGAGGACGGCGAGCAAGATGTAATAACTATGGTCCGTGAGATCTTGTAGCCGCATTACAGTAGTGACTAGCCTGGAGGGCTTGTCAAAAGTAGTAGGGGTTGGACGATGTGATAATCATGTACTGACTTTATCCTGCAGGCTTTACAATTCAGAAGAAGAAATCCTGAGGCGATCAGAGTCTGACTATCGTGGATGTTCCCAACTCGAAGTGCGGGTTACTTCGAAGTCGTGACACACGTCCGAGCTACCGAGAATTCAAGAGGTAGATAAGCAGGACGGTGCCCCCTTTTGTCTCGGTCAGCTCGGGTAGAAGGCCTCGGACTGGGACACAGGTTGCATCCACCTGATCATGATAGCCTTATCAAGGTATCAAGGAGGCAGGCGAACTATCAGGAGGAAACAGCCACCAAATCATCGCAGACCTTAAAAGTGCTTGGACCCTGGCTTAGTTATTCGTTGGGCTGCAGAATAGATTGAAGGATTGCAAAGAAGCTTGAAACCACCCGGTTCAGATCTGCAACCCTGAGCTGGATGGCGGTAGAGCAGAAACGTGGCGCGGCAGTCGCCGGTGAGACAGGTCACTACTGACACTAGACTCGTGGCCAGTCTCTGTAGGAGCACCCAGCCTCAGCCTGGTCAGGAAAAGCCCGAAGCTCTAATCGCCTATGGCACCTAATAAGTGTGACCAAGCCTGGCAAGCTAGCTCAGCTATATTGACTACAAATGTTTGTAGTGGGCATTACCTCGAAATTTGGGGTGACGATAAGTATAATTTTGTAGTTGGACTACAAACGTCGTGTATTGAAGGGTGCAGGAGCCAATCAGAGATCGCAAATCGAAATCAACGTGGTTCCCACGCTTACAACATCTAACGGGCTTGCCTGAATAGCCGAAATCGAGTGTCTGAGCGTATAAGCGGTCTGCGGAGCCTGAGGTTAGACTCTCAGACGATTCCGGGATTTACTGATGACCTGAGCTGAATACCGATGTAACTGAACGAGTAGAAGACGGAGAGGGAGGCGGGAATGAGGGTAGCTCTATAATATGTAACCTTCCAACGACTCCAGACCATCAGTAGAGCCTGCAGCGCACCGCATAATGCTGCGTCTGCACCGCTCCGAATGAGAATATCAATGATCGGAGTGTGTGGTGACGAATCTCGTATCATATTCTACACATCCATCTCCGAACCCGTCTCAGCCACAGTCTTGTCTTATGTTCCATATAAAAATTCCAGGGGGACACTCTCCGGCTACTCAACCGTGTCTGATCACAAACTCAGTATATGTTACGCCCTCACTCCCGCACCGTGGCCTCCTCTTTGGACGTTCTAGTCAGCCAGTTGCAAAAGTCGGCGGAAAATGCTACGTCTGGTGAGACCTTGCGTCATATTCTCTTGACTTGCATGAGAAGCCTGCTTCGGATGCTGCAGACGGCTCCAGCGTCTGTCGCGTACCTGAATTTTAAGTGTTGTCAACTTCTGGTTTTCCCCCGGAGTACTATCCATGTCTCATTCTTTGTCCGACTTCGTGACACCCGAACGTCCAAGAGATGAAAAATAGGTAACATGTAGGCCAAGGGGACGGACCAGCGGCTGTTGTTAACATTCCACCTCAAACAGTGTGTTCCACCCTGTCCAGCCGTCGCGCTTGGGCGGTGCGTCGTCCTGGAAGCCTTCCGCGCATATCTTGAACCTCTAGGATATAGATATATAGCCAAACGAAAGCTCGCCGAGGCTATGCTAATTGGCCAGAGCTGAACGTCGGTCATGGAATTTGCGTCCCGATTGTCCGCGCCCGTAAGTGAGCTCCTCAGGTGTTCCGGTATGAACATCACTACCATGGCATGTAGTACATCACTACCATGGCATGTAGTCCCGTCTGAATTCCGACCGCGCATACCGCCGCTGTTCCTGTGGTGCAGTCACCTCCTTTATGTTCTGCAACACGATTGGTTGCCACATACTTTTTACAAGCTGTGCGCTTGTGGCACCGTGAGTGGCACACCCTCCTAGTTATGTCCCAGAAGCAGGACGCCGCTACCTATTCTCATTCCTCCCATGTTTGGGAATTCCTGAAGATCTCCGAGCCGAAGGTGAGTGCCACAAGGAGATACGCAGTGCTTGACCATAGTCCCTTCGTGCGAGGACAGCTGCGGATCCCTGTCAAATACGAATCCTTTGCCCATCAGGAGCTATTGGACACTCTTTGAACACCTCAATGGACATCGCCACGAACGCCACGCGCCACGGCAGGGAGGTTAAAAGTCGCTTGGGGTTCCGTCGGAGGTGCGTCCAGGCAACAGTTATTTACGCTCTCTTTTGCTGTTGGTTTACTCTCAAAATGTGCTCCTGGGCGCAGTGAGTCTTCACTCTGATCGCCCTGGGTCTGAAATTTACTGATCCATTGCTCAGAGTTATTCACCATCACTCGTGCGGGGTAGTCGCTTCCTTTTGGCGTTCCTACGCTTCCTGAGAATTACTCTATAGTGCCACACGCCTGGACCAAACGAGCTAGTTAAATGCCCTCAACCCTCGTGTGTTACGAGCAAGACACATACGTGCAGGGGCGGCTGTGATCACCGACAGGTGAGTACCTGCGTGTTTTACCCCAGCTCCGACTATAGTGACAGTCGTTCAGATTCTCCGGCCTCATGGCCCGAAGATAGTCACTATTCCAACGCCATGCAGGGATCACCGGTAGGATACTGGAAGTGAGCCTTCCATCCTGGACAATCAAGCGCAGTCTTTTCTATCGCTCACCTTGACCCCTTTCCGATCCGATGAACTCTCGCACTCGGCTCTTATGTTCCCTTCAGTGGTGAGATCAAAGAGGACGCTCCGCACTAGAACGTATGATGTACCAATCACGATGGTCAATTGAGTTTTAGAGACGGTGGTATCATGTCCTACGCGCGGAGCCTACTTTACGGGTATGGATGCTCTCTCATACGAGCAATACGAATATTGGAATATGATGGATGTCGCGAACTCGTACGACGAGATAATACATGCTAAATCATCCATGCAGTATGTCGATGGAGCGGAAACCATGAGTACTACATACCGACGGTAGTTAAACTAAGTTACGGCCCCGACACAGGTGGTCGACGTGTTGCCTTGACAAAAGAGGAAACTTCTTAGTTGTTAAGAGTAGGGATGGAAAAACCGGGGGTGTACCGCAGTAGAGCAGTTCTTCTATGTGTGTTTTTGGTGACCACTGACCACAATGCATTAGATCTTTTGGGACAAGGAATGTACGTCCTCCCGGACAATGCCGGACCAGTGATGTTCGTTCTTACCTGTCACTTGGCCTCACCACCGTCGATGATGCTCATACCGTCGCCTCTATCTATTCGGGAAGTGGCTTCTTCGCGATATGCGGACTGTTGATCAGGATCCCCTGTTGGTCCGAGGAGGACAAAAGGGGCACTCGAGCCAAGACTGACCGACATTGGAATTCAGCGTCCGACCGAGAAAAGGTGTGAGATGGAACATTCAATGGATCACTAGTCAAAATACCTGAGAAAGGTTAACGAAGGCTGAGATTACGAGCCCCAGGAGCTTGACCTTGAAGCCGCAACGCTGAGGGTACATTGGAGTCTTCTTCGACTGACCGACAGTGGGCGAGGGCTTTTCCGCTGATCATTGGAGAGCCAATGAAGTGATTGGAAAAGTCATCGATGATGATGTCGGGCACCTCAGAGCTTATCGCCTACAGCTACCGCAGAGTATCGCGAAAAACGTCACACCCAAGGAATACACTGACTCTGAACCTGCAGCCATCGACGCTGAAGGGGAACATCGCCTGCTGTTAGAACACGACCGGCAAACCATCGTGTGCTACGAGCAGGGAGATGGTTTCTTGCAGCTCAGAATAGGGATGATGAGTCTCGCCTCAAGGGACAGAGAAGGCTCTTATACTACAGGATCCTTTTGTTTAGCTCGGGGAACAGCTTCTCTCGCAGCTGACTATCATCAAAGCGTTATCAGAGCACAAGCAAGACGGAGAACAGAGCATTATTCAATCCAATTGTGAACTGCCCTCTTCTGCCCTCTCCCATTTGTTTCGGATCATATATCGTCGTAGACCAATTGCAAGGGATTGCTCCCGATCTCCCTAGAGTGCAGGACAATAAGCGTCTCTCTAGCAGGGAAGGGTGATAGAGATTCGGATCTGGCTAGTTCGCCTTCCAAAGCGCGCAGCGGTTTAGAAACACTGCTCTGTCGGTCGACTCGGGCACACCCGACAAGATTGGAGCGAGAGAAGGTTCAGGTGATTGAGCAATCGAACAACCAAGGGGCTGAGACTTCAGCACACGTTAGTATGCGGCTGGGAGCGAAATACATGGGTCGACTCACTTTGACACCTCTAGTTGCAGGATTGAAGTTAACAGTTGCACTGAGGTGGTTTCCCTTCAAGACCGTCACTTCCGCATTGAAGGCCCGGGTCCAACATCCCCATGATATCGGAAACCGGAAAATGTTAAAGTATACGACCCAAGGAAGACAATGAGACTTCAAGAGGCGAGACATAGACATGGATAAAGTCGTAAGTTTTACACTCCTTCAGTGATAATCGTTATTAAAGGCTTCTGTTTCGGCCACCTCGGGTACTGCGGCGGCGAACTCGACTCAGGCACTGGCAGCATACGTTCACTTGATAGCGCCTCGTATCCAAGCTATATCGCGCTGTGGAGAAGGCAGTTCTGCCTACCAGCCTCCATAAAGCAGTGGGGTTGCACTTCTGACTTGTCGCGGCGCCGCCGCCACGGAGCAGTCTGGATAATTCAACGATCGAAATCTAGTGGCTACTCAAGCAGCTCACGCCTGAGGCTGGGAGACACTCGAGTGATTGCCTGTCCCGCAGATGAGTACAATGAACTGGCTCTGCTTGCAGTACACCACATCATCATTCGACAAGACTCTTCTTCGTTAACACTAGAACCTGTCAAACTACGAGTGGTTTCCAGGTGCGTTATTCCAGAAGTACCGAGCAACTCGTGACTGTGATATGTCAAGTGGGCTGCAAGGATTTGTCGCAGTGGAATGGCGGACTGCAAATAACTTCAGCATAAGGAGTCAGCTAAGGTGCGCATATGCAGGGTCCAACGATGGGACAGTAGTACGACACCATATTGAGTATGTGTTCTATGAATGGGTGGGTTTAGAGGAACGGTCCCTCAATAGTAAGGGGAAAGGAATCAGCGCGAGCACCTGGACTTCAGCCGCCTAAAGGCCCCTCGTTTGAGGGAGCTTTACCTTCTATCTGGGCGATAATCGCAGTTACACCGTTGGAGAAAGACGAATACAGACAATCAAGTCACTCAAATAATATCCACCTTGACACCCAGAGAACGCTTAACAATGGGGGCCACAGCAGAGTCGAGACTGACAAACTCCACCCTTCTGTCACCCGCGGCCTCTCCCATATCGCGTATATGCCTGCGGATCCCATACAGGTAGCGGTAGAATTGATTCTCAGTGCGGTCCCAGACTTTTATTTCGACGTAGTTCAATGTCGGCAGACCTTTTGAGCAGCAGCGACGAACACATGTAGCGACGTCTCGCAGGAGCTTGGCGGGTCCGATCATGCGCCTATCACTCTCCTCCCCATAGCGGAACCCACTGCGGTTCCGGCAGGTCGACAAGCTGAGTACTAGGTATGAGACTCGCGCCGCACGCAGTGAGCCACAGAATCGATCCTTTGCATTTGTAAGTTAGGCCGCAAAATTGTGGACTGGATCACGCACCAAAAATTCATACATTTGATTGCAGCACGGTCCCTCCATGATAGACAGATGAATGTATTCTAAGTGCGGTGCACTTTCCCAAAGCAATGGCTGGCAGATTGCATCTTCAAGATCTTCATCCAATGGAGTACACACGTCAAAGACCTCTAAACTAAAACAGCGAGGTTGTGCGAGTTGCATCGCAGCGCAAAGATGCCGCGCAGTATTTGGATAACTGGGCGCGGTTATCGACCGGCAGTCAGAGCGTAACGTCAACTCAGAAAGTTGACAGTTGAAACCGAGGGCTGCGAATGTTATCGCGTGTCCGGAGAACGACTGCAGCGTCCTCCATTCCGGGTCGACCACCTCCTCTTCGTCCTCATCTTCATCCACCTGGTCTTCCGGCACCGCCTCGACCGGGGCTACATCGACAGCAGATACGGCTCCGGATGCAATTCTAAGATGTTGCAGGTTCGGAAAAGCCTTTCGTAGGACTCGTGTACTGAAGATCTTGGTTACCGGAAGCAAATCACTGAGGATAGAGAGCTCCGACATGAGGGGCCACGGGCGGCACGACTCCAATGGTGGAACGGGACACCGGTACATAATGTATATGCCCAGGAAAACAAGGGTAGTTCGACACGGCTCCAAGAGACGCCAAATATCCATCCAGTCCTCGTTCGGCATTAGTTGCAGAAAGAGTCGGGACAACGGGATCGTTGCATTCTCTAACTGTAGCGCACGGCCCAGCAGTTCGATGAGACTCCTCCCTATCAGACTCAGCGAACGGGTACGAGCGAAGCTCGCCACTAGCGCGTTGCTCAGGATTGGAAAAGATTCTAGGTCCCGTATACCGGCAAGACTGAGTCTCTTGAGATTGACGGCAGACTCGAGAAGTGGAGCCAATAGTGTTTCGAGGAATTCCGGGCCTCTCAGCTCTCCTGGATCGTCTAATCCTAGTAATGCGTCCAACTCTCCAAGATCATCCATGATATTGCAAGCGCTTAAGTTGAGAAAGAGTGTCTCCAGTAATTGCAATCGAGTTTGGCTGCAAAGCATGAATCGACAAAAGGAAGCGCACGTCGAGAGCGGGAATGTTCCATGAAACCCGACATGGCGAACCATTCGGTCCCTGCAAACGTCCAGCAAGGAGGACTGAGTGACTGAAAGGCGTGCAAGAGACTGCGTGTCGAGATATGCGAGGATAGCGATAAAAATCTCGTAACTATTGTCCATTAAATCCAGGAACTGCATCTCAGTGGCGACTACCCGAAAATGACACCTCAGGAGCACTACCCTTTAACTCGATGGACGTTCACTTACTTGCAGTAATCCGCAGAAGTTGCCGTATACAGGGTAACGAAGACTATCGTGACCGATCGCAGTGAATAAGTACACAACCTAGTGATTTGAGGCTGAGTACTGTCGCACCTCGACTGTTGACCTTTGTTTGAGATGGATGAGAACCAAGAATATTGCCCGATAGAACGGGTTGACGTCCATACATATATGGTACATCTATGCGAGAAGTGTGACTGATGGCTTCGGTCAGCCCGGGTATGTAGAAGGGCGGCACAGGTTCAGCTGACAGCCTCTCCTCGACAAGCCCGTACCGATACAGTCGACTCTCCCATAACCCATAGCGGTCCGTGGACCCAGAAAGGTATGGGTTTTCGGAGACTATGGGTTACCAGGGTGTGACAGACTGTGACAGTGGCGGGTAGCGTGACATGTGGCTGGGAACCCGGCATACGCCGGACGGTCCGTGATGCCACATTATGCTACGTGTGGCCCGGTATGGGTGTGCAACGCCATATTGGTACGGGCTTTGGGTTGGAATATAAAAGCAATTAGTATAAAAGTAATAAATAGTGGTCCATATGGCTCTGATTGGGCTAAAAATAGGACGATTTATGGGTTATGGACCCTCACAAAGGTATGGGTTATGGGGTATCAGAGAGTTATCGGTTGTCGTGACAATTAACTAGGAACCAAATCGGTGGACGCAAAAATGTATGGGTTATTAGAGGTTATGGGTTATTGGAGGTATGGGTTAAGGGAGAGTCGACTGTATCATTATCGAATCTTTATCACGTGGGCAAGGAAGCAAATGAACACACGAGCATCTGAATATGGTAGGATGCATATGTAATTTGATGTACTGGCATAGGGCGTGGCCTATACTATCATTTCGGGGGAGTTGGTCAGATATCCCTCCATTTATTTTGTATCTTTATGATACCTCGAGATATGGACATTGGGTCTTCGCAGTCCGGTGCAATATCACCCTGTATATCAATATATGTACTCAGCAAGGCGGGATACTGGAAGTCTTCTACAATTTATGTCAGACCATCTGCCTCTCTGTGCGGCTGAAGATCTGACGCGATTCCCATTTAGGAAGGAGGCTCAAGCACACCAATTTGCTCGTTGTCCTTTGTTCACCTTGATATTGGTGATTCTAACCATCCAGACCTAATGGATAGCTGCTATATACTACACCAGTCCAGCAGCTAAGGACATAAAGAAATGTGGAAGGTGCTACGAATATTTCAGTCCATTAACCAACCCAACCGGAATTGACCAACTCCCCCGAAATGATACACTGGGTACAATACCCATATTGAGCCACCGAGAAAGTGTAAAGGGAACCGGACAAAGGTCAAATTTTGTTCATAGTGTTGCCTTGCAAAACAAATGAAAGTTCAATGAACAGTGCTGAACAAAGATCATATCATATCCTGTGTCACAATCAGATTCTTGTGCACTCAAAAGTATTATTCTAATTTGTTTCATTGACTGTGCAATGGACAAGCATGAAAACATTTTGCCCTTTGACCGGATATTTTCAAAGTTTTGTGCATGCTCAATATGGGTGATGTACCCAGTGATAGTACAGTTGCGGACAACCAAAGGCAACAATTTCGGCGACCCCATTTTTCCAGTCCCAGAACCCGTGGGAGTTCGGATTTTAATGCAGGAATTGTCTGTTTAGACCACAAGGAATAGATTGGCATGAGCAAACTTCTCATAAACCCTTTATATTTCCCTTAAAATGGGTTGTACAGGGTTAAAAATCTGGCCACGCCCTAGAATAGATTGGGACAAATCCAAAAAGTAGTGTAATCGTCTCCTTTCGATGAGCTGCATCTGATTCCGGCGTAAATCCCGTAATCTGACCAGCCAATGAAGTCCCGTCACTCCCGCCAACAGCTACTGAATAAGGCAGTCTGAGCAATTTTGGGCCTATCATTCCGCCGGGAACATGGTTCTCTGGTCTCCGATTGCTCCGAGAATGGTTTATGCAGTGTCTAGTCACCAATAATGACTCTGATATAGACCTGAGAGGTCCCAGATGCCGGTGAAATGGCCCAAAATTTTGGCCAAACCAAAAAGTCATGGGCAAAATAAGCCAACCTTATTTTTGGATGTTTTCACCCTCTTTGAGTCCGAATCCGAAGTCAGTTTCCTGCCAAAAAATTTCCGTTGGGTCCTAATTCATTTTGTTGCCTTTGGTTGTCCGCAACTGTAGCTGAGTTCCACCGAGGACCGGCCAGGGGCTCGGACGACGGCCCGGCCCGAGAGACTCTGCCTGTGTATGCGGCCTGCTTTGCATAAAAGTCCGGAAACTGCATTCCGCGAAATTTGTCCCAGCCAAACAATGTCTTATAGGATAACGCCTGACCGAGTGCACAAAGACTCCCACGCTCCTACCCAGCGATTGTATCGGGGTGCGCATATGGTAGAGCTCACATGCACTGTAACCCAATATAGCATATGCTTTACCTTGCAACTGGCGAGGTCTCTGCTTGTCGGGAATTGAGCCATCAAAGCTGTATTTGTTTATATTTGTTTGTGGCATGTGCATTGTTTTGCCCAAGTTTCTATCACTGCCGTCGGATTCAGTATCTTTGCTCTTGTCTCTGGAAGTCTCTCACTGCCTTAGTGTTGCCAGGCTCTGGCAAGGATGCCAGACATTGAGAATTCAATTATTGAAACTTTATTGATTTGTGATTGTTTGTGGCAACAAGCATCCAGTGGAATGCTCATGCTCCTCGCTGACACTGCAGCCTACCATTTTATGCTTCAAACCACTTGAAATCTTTGACCTTAGGGTGGTACAATGTTACTATAGACATGCAGAGAAAGAGGACCGAAGCAAGAGTCCAGTCGCAAGGTATACGGCCGGCGATAGCCGGCGCTTCTCGAGTCTGACTACTGCCTGACGGATTCAAGAGTTGATTCGAGTGAGACAAGTCCTCATTCAGTAGTGGCGCCACTAAAGCCACACATGGCATGCCGGGTTGTGCCGGTTGGTCGAGAAGTGGTCCGCATATTGGGGGTGCCAGAACCCCTCCCAAAGGACGGGCACTGGACTACAAATAAGACCGAGAACATGTACGCGATCTGTGCTCGACTATGAAGAAATCAGAGAGAGCCACTAGCGCTAGGGGTATCTCTTCAACTCGCTGATGTTGGTACTGTCGAATTCAATCCTCGAATTCTTACCCATCACTGTCATCTGTGTGCCCGCCTCCGGCGCACCCACGGCGAACTTGAGAAGATTAGAGCGAGCAGAGAAATCGAAGGAAGCAGGCGGGAAGGTCAGTGCACGTAAGTGTGCTGCGAGCCTGATGCGCGCACCTGAAATGCATGAGTCGACTCGGCTTGATGACATGTTGATGGTTGCCTAATTGGAGCATGGAAGTTAGATGTTGCGTTGCTGTGTTAAACCGTTGCAAGTCAGTGCAACAACCTTTATATTGGAAAGCGTACAATAGTAGCTGAAGCATTGACATCCAGTGACCCAAGACGAGGGTGAAGAGACGACGGATAGAACTTGAGATCTCAGAGTCAGGTCGCTCCCATCATATGCTCCGTAGCGCGCAAGGTGCATACAATATATTTCCCTGCGTTTGAACAGAGCCGCAAGGCCGGGTCCCGAACCGTCTTTTACGCCATCAACCACGTAGGGCGTCCAAACTGTTTGAGGCAAGCTCAACAATTTGCTACTAGGTAACTAACAGTAGGTACAAGAAAAATCTCACTACGGAGAAGATGGAGGTATAGACGGACCTCCTGTCAGACGAGTATGTGGGGCTCCATCAGGCGCTGAAACCCCAGTGAGCAGGAGTACGATGGTCGCTATCCGGGAGGAAATCAGGAAGACGCAACGTCTGGCTTATAGGCCTGGCAAATGTCGAAAAGGATACGTTGCCTATCAGCATCTGACTCAATGACTTCCTGGGTTTCAGGAAGATACTGAATTCGCGTCATTGAACTACCGATGTTGGGCGCCCAGGATCTTTTCCTCGGTGATACATATGTCAGGGGACTTCTCCGACTCTCACAGGGACTCGCGATAAACGGGGATGCGGATTCTTCATCATCGGAGCGGGAAGTACGTGATCCAGGCGAGAGAGGATTAGAGTAATATTCTCCTCGCAGGTCTCAGCGAGACGCGGAACAGTACAGGAGCCCATACCGTCTCCACGTCCTTCGCTGTGAGTCCTCTGCGACACAGGAGAGTACTGCGGGACCAACCATGTCTTCCTATCAAGTGCCATCGCGTCGTCAAGAAGAGAGGGAAGAAGCGGGATTCACGCATTTTCTTCTTTGGGTCTGATTGACGTGAATTATTGGAGACAGTTCCGGATTGTGTTTATCACGAGCAGTGATGTACCCAAATGATAACTCGGTGGGGAGAACGATAAATGAAGGGTAGACGGCGGCAAGAGTAGCGGGTGAGCGACTTTCCGAGAGCATAACGCAGGTATACATGTGATCACATTGAGGGTGCCACCACAAAGGGCGTTGTGGAGTGTCTTTAATGGGATCTTGAACCCATTTGCCTCTTCCTGGAAGTCGCCCTGCCTAATTTGGGCGTTTTGACTGCCTCTCACGTATCCTTCACGCTCCTTTCACTCCTGACATACGTCAACCCGCTCTCTGTGCTTCTCTGTGGGCCCATAGCTGAGGGTATATAAGAGCCTCGTGCTCGTTCCTTCTCGGGTCGCATCTTTCCCCCGTTCTCCTCCCTCCTCCTTCCTCTCAAACGACCCCTTCACGCTGCGCTGGATGCTGCCGCTTGACAGTCAGCACTACGTCCTCTCTGGAGTCTGTTGGCGATATCCTATTCAATAACTGACGGTCCACAAATTTGGTCATTGATCTTGCTTCGGATGCATCGGCTCCCTTTATGCGACTGATTCACAGTGCGCCTGTTCCATCGTATGCGAGCAACGCCTTCGGGAGACTTGCAAGGGCCCAATTCTGCGGTACCTGTGCTATGTTCCTGGACTACCTTCCGGTTATCCCATGTATTTGCCAGACTGGAGGGGACACTATAATCGCGCATATAGCCACACTTTCCGTCCGACGTTGGGATCAGACTTCCACTTGGTATATCTAATCTTATCTTATCACCTTACACTGCCGTTGATTGATTGCTCGGCCCGCGACGAACAGGACCCAGACCAAGTCGTCTAAGGTCTTGCTTATCTTTGCAGCACCTCTCTCATCCTTTGCCAACTGACCCATTGAGAGACAATTCCACTCACAACGAATCCACTATGTCGGCTACCGAACCGGGAACGCTCAGCCACGCTCGCTACGGGAAGGACCTCGTGCGCGTCCTTCGTGTCGTTCGCGAAGGATCGACGCACCATGTCGTCGAATACAACGTCAAAGCGCTCGTAGAAGGCGACATCGCAACTAGCTATACCAAGGCGGACAATTCTGTGGTAGTAGCTACCGACTCCAGTAAGTCATTCTGTGATTCTATGTTCGCTATATGCTGATCGTCCTCAGTCAAGAACATCACCTACTGTAAGTCCCCTGTTGACTCTCTTGGGAGGCAGATCTCGATCCACATTGTACAGACATCGCGAAGACATCGCCGCACGTTCTTCATCCCACGCGCTTTGCTCTTCATATTGCGACGTTCCTACTCTCCAAGTACCCGCATCTGCACAAGGCATTCGTGGACGTGGAAAGGCTTAGGTGGACTAGGATTCCGCTTAGCGGACAAGGCCAGGTGATTGCTGTCCGTCCATTCTTCCGACCGATATCTTATCTGTTTGGTCTGCAGTCGACGCCGCACCCTCACTCCTTCTATCGCGACGGAGATGATAAGCAAACCGTCTCTGTCGAGGTCGACGGCACCAAAGGGAAAGATAAAATGGTGGCGCACGTCCGAGGCGGGATGCGGGACCTGTTAGGTGAGCCGTGAACCCGGCTGCGCCGCATAGAACGCATACTGGGTCACTGCGGGCTGACAAGGTGATCCGTTTCAGTATTGAAGTCTACCGGCTCCGCCTTCCGTGACTTCGTACGCGATGAATTCACCACCCTTCTAGAGGTCCCGGACCGCATCTTCTCGACGTCCGTCGATCTCGAGTACGCATTTGGGGAAGTCAGGATCCCCGCGGAATATAAGGATTCAGAGAAGGTGGAGTCCAACGTGATTCAGCCCTGCTGCAGTTGACTGACTAGTTCTCTTCGTGGTTTATCAGGTGCGTCTGCCTATCGGAGAAACAGATATATATGCTGACATCTTTGATAGACCTTGAAGTCCTTTACCCTTTCCTCCGCCGGCAAGGGCGACGTCTGGGATGCTGACTTCGCTGCTGACCTTGCTCGAAAGATTACGCTCGACGTGTTCGCTACCGACGAAAGCGAAAGCGTTCAGGTACGTCGGCATGTCACAACTTTGTCTGTATGCTGATTGGGGCGTTTTCCCTATTTGCTAGGCCACTCTCTACAAGATGGCGCAGACGTTACTGAATGAAGACCAGTACATCAACACCGTCACTTACAAGCTGCCGAACAAGCACTACGTACCTGTGGATATGCGGTACATTGGGGTGGATAATGTGACTCCGTGAGCGTCCTGATCGTTTCGCCTTCGTTTCCATCTGCTCTTTCTCTTGCGGTGTGGGTGCACTACACGCTTCTGCGATGCTGCCGGTGCCTTCCCAGCGGTTTATACTTCGACTGCGGGCGCTGTCAACTTCTTTCTACCTCTTCGCTCCAGGAAGACTTGTCAAGGCTTTCTTGATGATCCATTTTGGGTGCCGGCGGTACGTTTGACGTAGATCGTCGGCGAGGGATCTCTCGGGCGTGCATGGTCGCGCAGATCCACTGAAAACAGTCTGGACTGCATCTTCCTCGACGTGCATTCCTCACGCCGATCTCGTCACCGCCGGGAATCCAGCCCTTCGAGCCCGCGTCACCGCCGGGACTGGTGCCAAGGGTGATAACGTTTGTGGATGTCATCCTCGTCGAGTCTGGACTCTCGGTGCCCACTTATTTACCGGCGGCACGGAATCGGATGCTCGGTCTCGCTCTGGCCGGCGCGTTTCGTCCGTCTGGGATGTCTGTCTGGTTGCTATTCGGGTACTGGCTATCGATGCGTCGCGATAGGAGTTCTACGGCCACGGCCACCATGCTAAGTTTCTACCCTCTTTGATACCCTTTCGCAATACCCCAGAGTGCAGTGATGCTGACCATGTGACAGGACCGAGGCGGAGGTGTTCACCCCGTTGGCCGCACCGAGGTGAGTGCGCTTCTCACAAGATAAATGGGGAATATACTGATGACGTCAATGTTTCTGTTTTGGGTGCTGTTTCGGTCTTGTCCTGCGCGGTTTGCTTCCTCTATTTCATGCCATTCTGCCGATGTTCAGTGGATTGATTACTGCTACAGTTACCAGAAAATAGGTGCTTTCGCTACGACGATAGACAGCAGCATGCAATGCAATACAAATTCAAAGAAGTGATGTAATTAGACGCATGACCATAAGCGGAAGGCGGGTGGCCCGGGGTCCTCGTGACGTCAGGCAGCCCCCGAAAGAAGATGGAATGTCATAACGATGGGAGAAGAGAAGAGGTTGCGTTTGCATTGCTTGCTAGCTCCAAACAGACCTTTGCTCCACTCGGACGACACCAGCTTGCCTCTCTCCTCGACACCGTTCCCGACAGCGCCGACGCTACCATGGGCGGCGACCACAAGTGTCCCGTGTGCCAGGCGACGTTTACGCGCCCCCAGCATGTCCAGCGGCATATGCGCTCCCGTGAGTCCCACTTCTAATACAAATATCTTGGAGTGTGGGGTTCGCTCCGTTGCACCCTCGAGACTCGGCGCCACCCTCCCGCTCCTCTCCGACAAGAGGGCTTACCCGTGTATTGCACAGACACCGGAGACAGGCCGTACAAGTGCCAGCACTGCGGTGATCAATTCGCTAGAAGGTGAGTCTTCGTGATATCTCGAGCACCGCTGGAGGTTCTGGTGGAAGCGACGTCGCGAGAGAAGGGACAAAGCCTGAGAGCAGTCGCGGGTCAAATCATGACGCGGAATTGATACGAGACTTGCGGCGATTCCACCAGTGCTGCCAGGCCATCTTCACTTTCGCACACTAACGCGATGACATGCACCCAGTGACCTCCTCTCTCGACACGTCAACAAATGTCACGCAAACGAAAAACCTCCAACAACATCAGCGCCTAACCAACGGCGGAAAGGCTCTGCAGCGGCCTGCCGCGCCACGACATCCAAGCAAGCCTGCGACCAGTGCGTCCAGTCGTCGCTACCTTGCGACGGCGCGAACCCGTGCTCGAAATGCGTGCAGCGCAAGTGCCGTTGCACCTACGTGAAATTCCACAGGCAAACCGCCCCTGTCGGCCCTGGACACCAGATCCGCCACGAGCCTGGCGATGTCCTAGGCGTCGGCGTGCCTGGTATGGCGGGTGCCTTTGGGTTCGACCCGTTGACTGGGGCCCCGCGATATCAGGACGACTTTTACCTGAACCCCGCGCCGGGGACTGGCCTGGCGAACCCCAACGTCATGTTGCCCTCTATGTCTCTCGACCAGCTATACGGTCAGCAGGCCCCAGCCACGGTGACGCAGCAATTCACATTCCCACCTCTTTATCCAGCTGGAGCCGGGGCCGCTGCAGGCGCCGCTCCTGATTACGACGCGGCTGCCCCGAATGGCGCAGCCGGACTCGACTACATCATGCGCTATCGTGCACAAGCCGATCTGCTACGAAGAGCTGGCGTGCCAGTTCCCCCACCCGCTGGCTCACTCCCCGCAAACGGAGGGGGAGTCATGCCTGGACTTTACGCCGACAATACCTCGACGAACCCGGCTCGCTTCTCTCTCTCGACCGCGGCATGGCCGCAGCACTCGTCCAGCCAGCCGGACCTGCAGGCGTATGCACAGAATGCGGACCTCGGGTCGCGGCGGCACCACTACGAGAACGGGTCGACCACGAGCCTGGCGGGGAGCGACAGTCGGCACTCTCTGTATTCGTCCACCAGCTCGACGAGCTCGAGGCATCAAGACCACGGGTCGAACAGCGTGTCCCCCGTCCCGCCACCGCAGATGGGCTACGCGAACAACCAGTACGCGCAGCAACAGGCGGCGAGACCCGTGTCGCAGCAGTCCGCGCATCCGGGCTCGGTCGCGTCGCTGCTGAACAACATGAGCACTCACCGGGATAGACGACACTCGATCGCGACGAGCCATAGCGGGGACTACGACTCTACGTACGACTATGAGAGCACGAGCTCGCACGGCCGCGAAGGCTCCGTTCCGTCGTCTTCCGACCACGAATACTCGAACCGCGCTCCCTCGGTGAACAGCCATCACTCCTCGGCGCATCACTCACACTCTAGTTCCATCAGCAATAGCGTCGACGGAGAACGTGGGCAGCAACACGAAGGCGAGGGGGGGTTCTCCAGTGCGTTCGGGATGATGAGTCTGGATGATCCGAACGTCCTCGCCGGACTTAGCAACGACGCGCCGCCGTTCTTCAGCGGGGAAAGCATGAACGGGATTATAAATAACTCGCAGGGCCAGGGAGGTGAGAACGAGCCAACACCGGGCGCGAGCATGAAGACACCGAGCACGCGCGAGGTGGAGACGAGGGAGTTGCGGGACTTCTGGAAGCAGTACATGCGCACGCCGCTGAGCTCTACCGGCGGCAGCGGGTGGACGCCTATCTTTGGCGGTGATGGCGGCGGGTTGTTGGGCCGGCCGAGCCCGCCGAAGAGGGGCCTGAGTCGCGTGGCTAGTTTGCCGAGCGTGAAGACGCCCACCGGGCTCGGGGACGTGAACCGCACACTACTGCAGCCTCTCGTCGTTCCTGGACAGGATGGGGAGCAGGGACAGACGAGGACGGCTTTGCACTTTGCTGATAGGGATGATCTTAAGAGTTACGAACAGGCGGTATTGGCGAGGAAAGGACTGACGAATCTGAACCTTGTGCCGAAACGCGCCAGGCAGCAGAGTGGTCAGCAAGGGCCGGGAGGAGGACAGGGACAGGGACTGAGGTTGCCGCCTGTGGGAGTTGTCACAGGGATCGCTGGTAACGTCAGTCTTGTGCCGAATAACATGAGCGGGAGTAGCGGAGGAGCGGATGTGAGGAATACTCAAGCGCCAAATGCTGCAGGAAGTAGGCCAGGGTCGGCTATGAGCGGCGGCAGCGGCGGTAGTGGAGGGTCGTCTTCGCTTGCGAATGCTTTGCAGGATGCCGGTAGTCGGCCGGGGACCGCCCAGTCAGAAAACGACGGACACCACGGTGGTCGGCCGAGCGTGAAGAGGCTAGCAAGCCAGACGCTTCAGCCTGAATATAGCAAGAGGCCGCAACTCAGCCGCCCCACGCCGCCGACGTTCAATGCTCCACCTCCGCTCTGGGGCCAAGGGCAACGACAAGATCAGGAGAACGCGGTGGCCGACGGAGATGGTGAGGACGGAGACAGACGGACAGTGAACATCTCGGAGCGCATGAGAAGAATGAGCGCGCCGACTGTTGCTGGGTATCCTTAAATATTGTCATATGGGTACGCACCCATCCTCTTCCTTTGTGCTCGACTGAGGTTCATGGAGCTAAACCTAGATTCTTTGTCCAGCTGGTTTTAATGACTTATTCGCGGCGTGGATATAGCCGACTTCCTGCTTCTTCTCTTCCCTCGTCTGCATCGTAAGGATGCGGGGGCGGGATGAATACCTCGAGGATTTCGACGATCCCTTTTCACGTGTATGTGCTTTTCTTCCGCCTCCCTTATGCTTTAAGCTTCGCCACTCGACTGCCCTGCGTTGCCTTGATGCTTGACACGAACCTGTATTACAAGCCCCCTTCTCCCATCGGACGGCCCTTTCCCCATAAAGATTGATACGATCCTGTACAACATGATACGAATGATTGGAATGAGTTATGTAGTGTAGTGTACTCGACTAATGTGACAATAGAGTTGTCTCGAATGAAACGTCAGATTTGACTCCTGCTCGTGTGCGTCTTGTCACTGTCAGGGGAGGGATGGAATCATGATTGCTTCGCTAGGGCAGCCATGAAACCATGTCGGGCTGATCATTCGTAAACTCTGACAGAAGCCAAGTCCCAGTACGCATTGATGAAAGCAGCGGGATTTTCGTCGACGTAGGCTGATGAGTAATAGGCGTCGGATACAGCGAACGTCCAAATTAACGTATATGAATGTACTCACTGACGCAGTCTCCTGGACATCCATCGGAATTGAAGACCGCGCCCGCCCAGTCGCCGCCTTCCACTGTAGTTAGCAAAGCACTACCATGTCATTTTATCCAATACGACGTACAGAGAGTGAGGTTGATGATAATATTGTTCTCGCCGAACTCTTCGGCAAGATCGCAACTTGTGCTGTTCGGGAAGTACGCGGTGGGTGTACCCTGTACAGAAAAGGATGAATAACAGTACCTGTCCAGATGAGAGGAAGGCATACCCAGAGTTTGGGGTCTATGATTGGGGACGCGATGGGCAGGGAGACGTCGAGGGGGACGGAGCGGTCGTTGCGAGGCCAGAACCATATCTTGATGTAGGCGTTCGTGCGCTCCATGGCGTACCACCCCCCGCCGTTCTCGTTGAATGCGGGCCCGTAGCTGTTCATGCTCGGCGCTGAGACCCCGCACCCGGCGTTGTAGTTGTCGAACGCATTGCAATCGGTCGTTTCAGTCGTCCTATGAGAAGCAGAATGACAAATCAGGCCAACCGAGATCAGATTGAAAAAGAGAACCAAGCGCACCCGGTCTGTGTGCGGTTCGTCGCGGGCATGGTGCACCCCGGGCCGGTGTGGAGGGTCATGGAGTTGGGCGCGACGTCATTAACGCCCTCGAGGATGTCCACTTCGCCCTCGTATGGCCAGTTGTTCGCGCCGGTCTCCCAAGCGGCAGGCCATGTCGCGCAGCCTTGCGGCATGTGCCGGATATCGAAGCTACAAACAAGCTTAGTTTCGAGGTAGGGTCCGGGAAGGAGGAAAGAAGGGAGGGATACAAGGAGGGATGGGGAAGTACGCACATGACGACGTGCGTGGTGTATGTCTTATAGGACATGATGCGCACGCTGTCGCGCCCCGGGTCGCTCGCGTTCAGGACGGTGGTGTGGTCCGCGCGCATGACGAAGCTGTCCCAGGACGCGTACGTGAGGTTCTTGGCGAGCGCGATGGACTCATTCACGTAGTTTCTGTTCCGAGGTGAGAAGGGGGAGTCGAGCGGCAGGTGGGTGTACTCACACGCGACCGTGGGTGGGGTCTGCGATGGCTTGGAACTGGAAGGCTTTGAGGAACTCGGAGCCGACGTGGTAGTCCGAGAGGTAGTACAGACCCGGGATGGTGGCACGCACATAGGCGGCCAATGCTACGGAGACGAACGCAGTAACCAGAATCATAGCAACGCCGCGAACTGCGAGTGAACGAAGGAAAGACAAAGAGAAAAGAGCGGAAGTGCGAACGTGCCGTGGCAGTCAGAGCGAGAGAGGGGGAAGAGGCTCAAATAAATGGCTGAGGCAGCAAGGGCATGCGTAAATATAACCGTGTCTTTGCATGACAGGCACGCATGGACCGGCTGTCGATCGTCCGAGGAAGGCCCGAAGGTGAATGGGTCCCTGACCTGAGTGGATTTGCTGGCGCAGCGAGCGAAGGAATGTCCGACGCGAGATATCTCCTCTAATGGTATATCTCAGCCAGAGTGCTTCGCTGCGGTTCCAGGCATTCCTCAGCTGGACCAACACAGAACCACACGGGCTGTCAGACCAGAGGGATGTCTAGCACTTGTGAGTATCGAAGCAAAGATCCAGAGCCGTTGCACGAGGTTAGAGAGGCAGAGGAACGAAAGGCGATAAAGAGCGGGTGCAGTGCACTGTTCCCCGGGACTTAAATAGGTGCTTTGTGTGATATCCGGGTTTCAGTTCCTAAATCCCGTTCCGCAGGACAGAGAATATCGAAAGGGGGACGAGTCGTTCCTCGTCACCCTCCCCGTCACTCCCTAGCGGTCGACTGAGATCGGTGACAAGGACCGACCAACATATCAGTTTCCAATTCATCTCCAATGTGCTTATCCTAGTAGACACCGTAAGTTCCAGGATAGACCCTCGCGGACTCCGGATGCGGGGAGACCGTAGTCTTAAGTTGAAGACATACCTTACACGAATTCCGGCATGAATCTCGGGATCGACGAGATGACCGATTTCATCTTGGCGCGGAAGCTAAGATAATGGTGGCAGTGATATACCTTAATTTCATCCCTTCGCATTGGAACTTCAATCGATGGGGTGGTGAGGAGTTCGACACCTCAGACCAAGTCACTGTACAGTAGAACTCTCGGACGAGGTCGACAAAGGATCCGGATCGGGCGAAACTGTCTGACTTGACCGATTCAGTCTGACAAAGCTCGATAACTCCCAAGGAGACCTCGGGTGATGTTTTGTGGCAATCGATCTTTGTTAGCAACTCAAGCTCGAGCTCGCCGGTGGTGGTGGCGTCTGCCGCCAAAGACGCGTCGCCTTGCCGCTGCCGGCGATTCGGCGTCTTTCACTCTGCTTGATTGATCCTTGAACAACGGGACGCCTTTGGGCCTTTGGCTGCTTCTAAAATCGTGAATGTACTGCTAGTTCTCTCACCACTGTTGAGTATGAAAGTCCAGATCACTGAGGAACAGTACATCTGTTCAACGCCACCCCGGCTTGACTTTCGAACGTAGGGGATGTGGCGGCCGCAAGTCCGCCGCACGTCCCCGTCAGGCCTGCACTGCACGATGCGTCCGCTCTGATATAGTCTGATACGGATTGATATGGAAGCCTAGATTTGCATCGCGACGTGTCGAAAGCTGTTCTCCCAGTGATGAGGCATCGCTCCGGACAACAAGAATGTCCATCCATAGCCCCTATTTGGTAGGTCTCAGATCACGAAAGATGTACGGCATAGAGGGCATACAGAGGATATAAGACATCGGTCGAGGCCTCAGAGACCACTATCCCATCCGTCCCATCCTATCTCATCTCATCTCATCCAACCAGCCAGCCATGTCCAAGGGCGTCGTCCTCATCACCGGTATTACAGGGTATGTATACGTCGTCGTATGCTCGTGAGCCCACACCGTGTCTTACATTCTGCATTGTCTGCAGGTACGTTGCGACCCATACCGCCCTTGCCTTCTTCGAGGCCGGCTACACCGTCAAGGGCACGGTGCGTTCAGCTGAGAAGGCCGACTTCTGGATATCCGCCTTCCCGCAGCACAAAGATGCCTTCCAGTACGCGATCGTCGAGGACATGACCCTGCCGGGTGCCTACGACGAGGCGATCAAGGGCGTCGACATCGTCGCACACATCGCCTCGCCCACGCACTGGAACCCCAAGGACAACGAGAAGGACATCCTCCTGCCGGCGATCAACGGCACGAAGAACATCCTCAGCGCGACGAAGCTCGAGCCGCGCATCAAGCGCGTCGTGTTCACCTCGTCCTTCGCCGCCGTCTCCGACGCGCGCAAGGAGGTCAGCCCCGACAAGGTCTTCACGCCCGCGGACTTCAACGACATCACGTATGAGGAGGGCAAGACCGCGACTGAGCACCGCTGGACGTACCAGGCGTCCAAGGCGCTCGCCGAGAAGACGTTCTGGAACTTCATCAAGGAGGAGAAGCCCTCCTGGGCGGGCTCCGTCGTTGCACCCATGTATGTCTTCAACGCAGCTTCTGGGGATGGATGGACCGCTAATCGCGAATGTACAGCGGCACCTACGGTCCGCCCCTCCAGCCCGTCAAGTCCCTGAAGGACATCAACATGTCCTGCCAGTTCTTCCTTGGCCTCGCCAACGGCACGTTCAAGAACGGCGTCCCCGCAATAGGGTTCCCCTTCTTCGTTGACGTCCGTGACGTCGCCCTCGCGCACCTCCGCGCCGTCGAGCTCGACGTCGCCAAGGGCCAGCGCTACCTCCTTGTCGGCGGTCCCTACGTTCGTTCCTCCTGCTTCTTCCCACACCGATACATAAAATTAACTGCATTGGAAAATACAGAAACCCGAGCAAATCGTCGACGTCGTCGTGCGCAACTTCCCCTTCCTCAAGGAGAAGCTCCCCGAGGTCGACATCACCAAGGTCGACCTCGAGTCGACGCCGTTCAAGATCGACACGTCCAAGACGACGGGCGAGCTCGGCATCACGTTCACGCCCTTCGAGAAGATGATCGTCGACACCATGAACCGCCTGCTCTTCCTCGCGAAGCAGTTCGGTGCCATCCCTTGAAGTGCCTAGCCTTAGCGTGTTGTAGGGCGTGTAGAAAATTTGACGTGTATCATGTATCATTACGGATCGATGACTGCTTTCACGGATTTAATGGATACCATTTGCATAGAGCTGCTTGCTTGGAAGTTGGGTGGGAAGGCGCAATTTCCTAGTGGGGTGTCGTCAGGAGTACCCAATCTTCAATATTCGAATTTTGCTGCTCCGCACAGCATCTCGTTCGCCCCACTTGATTCAGATGGGTCAGAATCGCGAGCTCGAGTCTATCATCGTCCGCTCCGTATCTTCGGTTTTCCTTGCTCGAGTTGCTGGGACTTAAGAGCAATCCCGCTGTTGGTGGAACATACCGCGTCGACGGTGCGTTACGCTTCTAGTCGCAGCGAGATTCCGCTGATTACCTGCATACATTCAGAGTCTTCGAACTCGTCTAATTGCAGGTGCAACATGCTGTGATGGTCGACACACTGCCAGCGGCACTGGCTTCAGAGTTCAGAGGCCCTTTACGACTCGGAATGGCCGGTCCCGCCGTCCATCGTCCGGACAGTTTCGCAGGCGTTGCGCCTCCCAGCTAAAGTCTCGCTATCTCCGAGTCCCTGCTCTCGCTTTTCGCAACTACATCGCACTTGTTCAGATTTTGGAATCAGTGTTCTCGGCTCGACATGTCCCTTTCCTCAGACTTCTTCTCATCATCCCCTGACCTTTGTTTCGTGACGTCCGTCCTCTCACATCCTCTATGGTGCCTGGCCAGATTGCCGACGGAACAGATAATATTCGTAGGTCTGAACTGCTATCATTCAAGTCTGATTCATGAAGTTGATCATTTCGTAACTTCGGACATGGCTGGGAAAGGTGCACAATGTCCCCCACTGGTCTCTGGAGTTCCCAATTATCCTCGACTTGCATCGAGGGCGGATTCTGGCAGGCTCGTTATTGGTATCGTTATGGCGCAAATGCCTCCCTACTAGGGCTTCTAAACTTGCACTTCGGCGGAACGGCGCACCACCACCAAGTTCATCGACCCCTCGGTACCGAAACTTATTGCCCGACCAGAATAAATGGATGTAGGACAATCCTCGGCTTCCCAGCGCTCAACATCAAGGTCTCGTAAGACAGCGTGCCTGGGTGCATTAAGAAGGCCGAGGCGCTGCTAAGCTGAGCACACTCGGCGGATATGATGTCTGGACGGAACGACATAAAATCCCTGGCATAGAAGGCCTGCAGGCCACCCCAGGTTTTCCCTTGTTCAGGTGACGGTGTGTTCAAGTTAACCATGGCGTCCCTCTCCCAGCTCTCCAAGATGCTTCTTGCCATGACTCCTCTCTTAACGCTTTCAGGCACCGAAGCGTATACCACTGGGATCGCCCAACGCTCGGTTCCTGGACCTCTCGTTTGGGCAGCGAATCAAACGCTCGCAGGATGTATCTGTCCAGCCGACTCTTACGGCGAATGGGGGATTCTCATCAATATATTCCCCGGGTACCAATGCGCGTATCCCAACGGTGCCTGCGCGTGGAGCGACGTCGTACGTAGATATTCGCTATACTACCGTACCGTGTCTTTGACATTCGGACGATACAGAGCGGCCGACTCCAAAATACTCCGCAAGGGAACTGTGAAGCTTATGCCCCATGTCCCAGTACCGGATGCACTTGCCCGGACGATCTCAACGGAGACGCAGGTGTCTTGATTAACTACTTCAGAGGCTATCAATGCGCCTACCTCCGAGGCATTTGCACTTGGGATGAGGTAGACTGTCGTCATGTGCTCCGCATAGTTTCTCTGCTGATTCAACGCCTGATGCAGTTTGGGAATGTGGTTACTCTTGCTGGGGCGAACCCGAGCAACTGTCTCGCGACCGACGCCTGCAGCGCACTCAACTAAATTACCTTGGACTTCCGTCCCTGTACAGCGATTCCATTACAAGCTGCTGTTATCGGTGAAGATACTGTTTAACTATGGAAATTGTAAGAACGGCGAAGTTGTAGGTATTTCAGAGCGAAGACTGTCCCTGGGTTTCTGTCTCGCTTCGCGAATGGGCCCCTGAGATGCACTTGACAGCAGAGATACAGAAAAGGTCGAGGTGCAGAGGTTGACGAGGGTGAGCGCTGGATAATTTACAGCTTTGCAGATCAAATACTCCGATCGTCATCGCCCATGCCCAGGCTCTACTTGGATGGATTTCCACGATTCCTGCCCACCTACCATGTACGGTGGCTGATGGCTTTATCAGCTTGATATGTACTGACTGCTTCAAAAGTGTTTCTCGCGTGTGAGGCTTTCAGGGCCTCAGGTGAGCTCCTGAACGCTGTGACCCAAACGAGTTCGCCGTCCGTCCGGCGAGCTGTCCGAAACAGCAAGGCCTTCTTAAGCCTAAGGGTGTTGAGACAAGCGAGATACTCTGTCCTTGCGCCTCGTCCCGCTTGCATCACATTCATCTGTTCTCCTTAGTTTCGTCCTAAATTGCGAACAGCCTGTACTTTCAAGGCTGACAGGATCTTGGACCCATAAGACTCCAAGTCCGTAACATTCTTCTGTATCGACAGCATGTTTCAGTGCTTAGACTTACCATTAGAGCTTCCTTCATCCCACATCGCGTTGCAACCCTTACCGATTGCCGTCAGTATGTCTGCATGTCTCCATTCCGTTCCTACTAATCAAGCCTGACACTGACATGTCTTGGCGAGTAGTCCGACTCCAATGCAGCTCTTCAGTCTCATACACGGAAGCTATGATGCCCGCATCATGATACTAACATTGCTCGATATGCAAGATCTTGCATGTTTGTCAATTACCACCTCCGCGTTGCTAGATGTGTGTAGGCAAAGAATGGTCCAAGAGGTCATTTTCTATGGAGAGACGGCTCTTTCAAAGGCGGTTTGCTTCTGCCACTCCATGCTCCGCGATCCATCCTGGCCGCCTACGTAGACAGACGCTACACTTTCACTATCACACTATCGAAGTTCTCGATGATATCGAAGAACTGGGCTAAAGGCTTGGCTCACCCAGACGAGTCCAGTGAAGATATGCCAGAGTTCCTGGCGACACTCTTTGCACCCCTCCTAGAATCTTTCGTTAACATATCCTTGCTCAATCTGTCTGGAACAGAGCACCTGCAGTCCTTATATACTTTCGGCAAGGCGCTTGCTGCGTATTCAGCCCGCATGGAACTGGTGTCCTTGGATGGGCGGAAGCTCGTAGAACTGCTTGGGGATGCGCTGGCGCACTGCTAGCCTTCCTTGCGAAGAGTCCATTTGCGCCTAGGAGACGAGAATTGGTCAAGCATCTGGCTTCTCTTGCGTCCCTGTCGGGATACCCTCGAAGAATTGCTCATAAAGTCTGTTGGTTCTCGTACTATTTCACGAATGGATTCACTCTACCCATGGCCAACATGACCGACCTCGGGATCGTTCAACCTTACGTATCGGTCTTGCCCTTCAGTAACTCCCACAGGTACGGACAGCATTTCCGAACTTGTGCGATCTTCGGCTTACATCCAATAATGTGCACGGCATCAATCTGCAAACCGCCTCTGACAATATCTGTACCGAATGGAGCTCGTTCTGCCTTTTTTCCGGTAGTGCAAGCACTCTGCTTTCACTTGGCCTCAGCTGTCGGATCCCATACTAGTATTTGAGCTTGGGATCTGATCACTGTGAGTGTATGTCTTCCACCGATTCTCCTAGGTTTGAAGCTGTGCATCTCACGTAAGACTTAGTGGACGAAGTACGACGTGCCGATCCTCCCAGAGCCAGGGCCACCTGGAACCTCCATGCTGCTCTGCGACTTGCACAACCCCGATGCTTTTGTTTGCAGATCCCCGATCCATGAAGATGTGGACGATGCGCTTGGTAAGGCATCATTCTGGGAAGCTTCGCGGCGCCTGGAATACTTTATACTGTACATCCAGAATGGGCCATGCTGTAATCGGTTGCTTGATTTCTTGGTGTGCCACACTGTGAGCGGATGCCTGGCTTGGAAAACTGGGGCAAAGACTCGAAGTATTCGAATCGTTTCAGGCTGCTGCTACACGACCCTCCTATCTCTCTCTCGCGATGTCAAACACGCGCTTCTATGCACTCACGGATGATGATTCGCCGATTCTCCGGTGCAGGGTCTCTGAGTCTCTCGTCAAGCTCCTGCGGGACGATACGACAAGCCTTCCGCGTTCCTTCACGATAGTTTCAGCCTCGCTACATTACGTGGAGATACCGATCCGCGAACCAATCACATTTCAACGTGTAACTCACTTGTACAGGATGCGCAGGTACCCGTCTGCGTTCGCAGATCTCGAGGACCCGAGGGCTGTAAAGCTATTCGAAGTCAACACTTGATTCGGCGCCTTGTAAGGCGTTCACCTTAAGAGAGTCACGGGGGCTGCGAATCCACTGACCGCATACTCCCTACTAGGACCAATTCCTTAGATCACGACAGGAGCCGTGGCCGCGAGACAAGCGGATGGTTCCGTATTTTTATACCTGTAATATTACCTAGTAGCCATTGTCGAATGCATGGAGGAGCCTGTATAAGAGATCCAAGATAGACACTGAACGATTCCTCCCTCTCGCGGATGGTACTTGACTACTGACCTCGAGCGCGTCGCGCCACCGAATGTTCACTGCGCGCAAAACCCTTGTCAGAATTATCACATAGTTAAATCGAAGTCCTTCAAGTTCAAGGGTGGATGAAGGGATGAAAGCAAGTACAAGCAAACAACTTGTATATGTTAGTCAGACACATCTAATGAAGCGAGAGCGCCTCATACAATAACAATACTGTATCCCCAGCAATTCCCGGGACTAGGGATCAGTTGCCCAACCCGCTACTCTTTGCTCGGTCTACCCGAAACTTGTAGTACTCCCCGCTTGTCATAACAGGGTACTTCATGGGATTCTCCTTCGACACGCAGCTGGGCACATCGAACCCAAAGAAGAACGGGCACGAGTACCGCTCCTTCCCGCTCTTGTTAATGACACGATGGACGGTCGATACGAAGAAATCGTTCGTCTGGCGCATGAAGCAGTCAGCGATGTTGACGACAAGAGCACCAGGTACTGGAGGGGCTTTGACCCAGTCCCCGGACCTGGAGAGAACTTCGAGTCCCCCGCAGTCGTCCTGGGTAACCATCGTGAAGCATTCGAAGTCTGTGTGGGCTCCGATACCGTTCTGCTCTTCCGCTGGGGCCTGCAATGAAAGAGGTTGCTATCAATATTCCCGCCTTTCTGTCTTCCGACAAACGTACCTCCTGCTCAGGATAATGCAAAATACGCATAGCCGCTTCCGGTCTCTTCACGTACTCATCGAAGTAGTCCTCAGGCATACGCAGCGCCAAGGCGAACATCCGCGTCATCTTGCGCGCCAGCATTAGTAGCTGCGTATGATATGCATACAACGTCTCCTTGAAGCCCGGGAGACCATCTGGCCAGATGCTGATAGAAGGTCTCTCCTTATCCACAGCGGCAGGATCGTATTGTGCGTCGTAGGCCCAGTTGAATGCCTCGCTAAGGTCTAAAGCTCGGTCAGTACGGTTTCTACTTTCTGGTAGTCGCCCACAGGCGCACAGACCGTTGTACTTTCGCTGGTTTCGGTTATAGCCTTGCAGGGGGTGGTACCCCACATACTCGTTAGGCACAAGCCCCGTCCATACGCTCATTTTCTCTTCCATAGGAAGGGCAAAAAACCGCCTCGCCTGCTCGAACGTATCCTCCTTGTACCTTCCTTCAATCCCCTAGGGCCGAAATCCAGGTGAGCCAAGTAAAAGACAAGCGTTTGCGACACTCACATGATTAACAGCGTAGAAGAACCCTATGCGGGATGCAGCCTCGCGGACTTGTTCCGCCACCGCCTTGCGATCCTCGATGTCCTTACTGAAGATTCCACTGATGTCAATGATGGGTATTTCTCCCGTGTCTTTCGCGACGTTCGACTTGTAGGACACTATCTGGCCGTTCTGCAGCTGCAGTGTCGATACGGTAGCATTCGATTCGATGGTGGATGTCTGTGACATATCGACAGGGCCGTGGGGTCAACCATCCTACGGCCTGCTATATGAAGCGTTAGCCTGACAAATATCGCGCATCCTTGTGTACCGTTGAGATAGTGGATCGTCGTTTCATTCGAGGCTATTCGAAGAACCAGATAGCGGGGACAACCGAGAATAGTATACAGTATCATATTATGGGTTGCCGTACCGAGAGAATACCTTCCTGCCGGCGGCAAGACACAGGGTATAACGTCGAAGTGGTACGTCCCATCATTGCCTGTACAGGACTCTCGGAGCCAGCGGAGTAAAACTATCCTGGCCTGACGCTCCGATTTTCACTGTAATCATTCGGCGTTCGATTATTTAGGAGTAATTCGACTCACCGAGGGCAAAGCTACTTTGCGAGCGCCGAGCGCGATACGCGAAACAACTCCAAAGAAATCTGATTTGACTGTAACTAGGACGAGACTCTATTTGTTCGTGCGTGATGAAGCGACAACAGCTCTAGCGAAACAGCAGAGCCTCCACACGTTGCCAGCTGGCGGTCCTTAAGAAGTGGTTCAGCAAGCCTTCCAGCTCTGGACCTGTCGGCAACGCGTGCGCATGCTGAGCGCAGCGCGATCAGTTGACGATTGGGAGGGATGGTATGGGGATATTGTTTGCCGCGCAATATGTCCGGACCTCAGGATCAACTTGGAACTTGACTCAGCGACGAGGTCTAGCTGCAAGAGCAAAGAATATTCATTTTGCCGAACTCTGGCAGAGCCTAAGTCCATTAGCAGGAATGATTCGCTGAGCAATAGTCATGTTATGCACACACATGAAGCTTAGCGTCCGATTTCGTCTTTGGAGCCGCTTACATCTTGTGTAATATATCTTCCCCAAGGGTATCGAGAGAATGGGGAGAATTCCACTTCGATGCAAGCGGCACACGCTCTCGCAGAAGCGGCTGAGTGTATCTGAGTCCCAGCTGTATCACCTTCGCGTGTCCGGCTTCCTCATGCTCCTCTACACCATAACACGCGAATATCTCAGTCACCAATCACAAATAGGGTTTCAATCCGAACGAATGCCGTGGTGCCAGCTCCCAGAAGTCCTCGAGGAACCAGCCAAGAACCCGAATGGCGACCAGCGATTGGTTATACTTGCCAGTGGGCGAGGTAGAGGTGGCAGCAAACGCTTCAGCGCCTAGAAGCAACTGCTATATGCGAGTGTTCCGTTCGTCGAGAACGACGGCTTTGGGCAGGGGAGTAGAAGGCATCCGTTCATGCCTCCTACTCAAGGAGCAACGGTTCAGGAGCGGTATTTCCCTTATGTAATGCACGTTGGCAGATCGAGCGCCACCCTTTGACTTGACTTCGGCTCACTGTATTTAGAAACCGTCTGTAACTGCTTTTCACGGAATCGAAACGTAACCATCTAGATTCAACGTCCGGCGTCTCCTCCAACGCACGATATTTGGGGCCAATCCGCTCGACATTGTTCCTACAACTGGAGGCCGTCAGACATTGCTGATTGCTGAGTCCATACTGGACATAACGATCACTATTTGGATCTTTATCCGTTGGAGGGGAAGTAACTCACGAAATACTGAAGACCAGCTAATACGAAGATGCGAAGAAAATCGCAAGTGACTCGCCAGCAGTGGTTAGATGAAGGTTGTCCATTTCGGAGGACTACAACTCTATGCTCTCCTTCGCCTTGAACTTCCTTGCTGCACGTTCCGAGGACCTAAAACAGAATTGATTGCCGTAGAGCTCGAACTCGAGATGCGGTATATCCAGTACGGTCTGAGCGATTGTTAGCGTCGACGATGACAATGGCTGGCCGGTAGTCGGCAATGTAGAGTGGAGAGGAACGAAGAGTTTGAAAATGGAGTTCCGTTTGGGGAGTACTGGTGGGTGTCAGAATTGGCCGAGCGAGCATGATCCAAGTCGTACGACATACGTTTGACCTGGTTTCGCTGGGTTATTACGCGGAACGCGTTTTCAGTCTCGAGTATGACGATTCCAGATAACCCAATAAGAGCAGGGTTCTTCGCCTGGCCGACTGATGTCACAATATAACGGATGGTCAAGGGACTAGGTGAAGAGTTGCGTACCGGTGATTAGCGAGCCGTGAAAATCCGCCTTCACAAGCTTCGCGTGCATGTTGGAAACATTGGGTGTTGACCGGGCATTGGACCGCGGAGGAAGATTGTGTAGCTCGGACATGTACCCTAACCACATGTGATGAAGCGGGAGGAAGAGGTCAAATCTGGAGGCGTCGAAGCGAAAGCGTGAACGAACGGTCGCGCGCCAATACAATGCCGACTAGCCTTGACTGAGATTTGTGCAGCCTCCAAGGACCTCTCTGCACAGCAAGCAACCCCTGCCCAGCCTTTGCCTTCGCTTCTTTCCGTCTCGCTTTCTTCTCGTCCCGTTCCTTCTTCGCCTTACTCTCCTTGGCTGGGTTCTCCAGCATAATCTGTTTCCCGGAAATACGGGATGCATATGTACCGGCTGGATCAGATGTCGTGAGGTGCGACTGGACATAGGTCGGAGTGAAAGGTGCTGTGGAGGTGATAGTCAATCGGCGATTGGCAAGTGGCGCGTAGGGATTGACCGGGGCATTGGGAGTCCTCGAGCGGGACGCTACTGCGGTCACGTCAAGGACGACTAGTTCCTGGCCCGAAGGAGGTGCCATTTCTGCGTATGCATCGACTTCCAAGGTTAGGACTCGTACGGAACGGCTTTCGAAGTTCGTAGTTTCCGTTCGGACTTTTGCGGCTGTGCACTTGTGCTGCTCGGGATCATCCGAGTCCGGGTGTGGCTTCGTTCGCAAAGTTCTAGTCATCGGTGAATGACGGACATCATTTGTTGAAAACAGTTGGTGGCCCATTTGCTCATGATCACATGCCGGAACAGATAAAAACTAGACCCTAAGCTTTCTGTCAAGGACAGGGGATTCATCTCGGACTGCAAACACCGATTCAACCGAAGTCGCAAATACATCATTCATGTAAATCCTCAGACAACAAATCCCACCCTTCCTCGTCGTTATCGCATGTTTTCTTACTCCCGAGCGAATCAGGCAACAAATCCCACTCCTCTTCGCTGACATCCTCAAAGTCATTGTCGCTATCAGTACCCATTCTCTGAACATACTCAGACAAGGCAGGAGATGCAGTCAACTCGCCCATGTCGTGGCCGCGACGAAAACAACCGCTGCTTCCTCAGAGCCGGCGGGTAGGGTGGGACACGGCGGCATTGATACACCAGGGCACGTCGTGAGCACATTCTTGACGAGTTCCGGGATGGCTTCGATACTGTTTTCGATGGCATTCTTGATCCTCTGACCCACCGCCCGCTCCAGCACTGAGGTTCTCGTCGGAACGAGTCCGTAGGGCAGGAGGGGGCGGCGGAACAGAGGCAGGAGGATGCGCGACGTCATGCCCAATGATGCTTTTGTCCACACGTATCACCTGCAGCTGGTTCAAGAGCGCCGTCCACGACAGCCCGGCATTCGGCGAGGGTAAGCCTCCCACCGCATTTCCTGGGGCTTTGCACTGCGGCTCTACAAATGTAGCACTTGCCTTGCCTGCGGGACACTAAGACAAAGAATTACTGCGTTGGGAGGCAGCACGCACCTGGCCTCTCGCTCTTTTCGCGCGCCGTCGATACTTTGCTGTGAAGGACTTCCGCCTCGCGTTCATCGGGCGAAACCGAAGCCGAACTTGCATCCCTGGATCCTTGGTCAACGCCGCAGAAAAGACGAGCCAACCGTACTAGCTTACATTGCTAGGAAACCACAGAAAAGATGGTCGGTCGGAGGAACACTCTAACCCAGCGCGCCCCTCCTGCGCCGAAATCACGCCTCGCCCTCCAGCCAGATCGACCATCCGATAGTAGAATATTCCATCCTTGCTGTTGTCTCGGGAGGCAACCAAGGCGCCTTCCAAACCAGAATCGGTCAATAACTGGATATGGGGTACGCGTGAAAGATGCGGGCCCGCGCCGCGAACAGGATCTTGTTGGAGGGTTTGGGGATGGAGGATTTGATCTTCGATTTATGCTTCTTCGAGAGCGTGGACTGAATTGACATGTCAATAGTAAGAAAAGCGCAGACGATGCCAGAAAGCAGGTGGGAGTCTTATCCACAGCAGTCAAACGGCTCCTTGGTATATACGGCTTGTGGATGGCCATGGAGTCCTCATTAAGACGGCGCTCTGCACACGTTTTCCGTCAAGCTGTGTATACCTACTTGTATCGGAAACTTGAGGGTCCCCTGCGTTCCGTCGAAGGCTCCCTTGTTCATATCCAAGTCCAAAAATATCTGTATTTTATGTTCCCTCCGAAAGCTGTCGGTACGCATGCCGGATTTCCCGGGTTGAAGAGGAAATAATGCGCGCCAACCTGCAGATTTTCAGAAAGTTATGACAGATCCGGGTTAGACATATTTGAAAGCACCGACTGCTGAATCCATGCTGCGTTGGAGCCTGTCAGGTCGTCTCTTGTGTTGTGAATGAAACCAGAGACCTGAGTAACTGAAGACTGCCGCCGAAGTGGGCCACTGCAAACGGCCCTCCGGCTAGTTCCGTAACGTCCGCAGCCTCCCACAAGGAGACGACATTGTGTTCAACCCCATCTCGCAGCACTCGAGCTTGTCCGGACAGTCGACGTCCAAGTCGTCAAATCCAGTAGCCTTCAAGGACTCAAGCAGGACTCAACCGGGTCGCGACGCCACTCAGGATGGGAAGGAGAAAGATTGAGATACAGCCCATCACCGTACGCGACACGTTCCCTCCCCCGCTCCCGCTCGCCTGCCTCGCAAGCGAGCGGTTCGTATACATCCCAGAACTCGAGGCACGAAGGAACTGATGCATCGCCTTGCGCCCAGACCGAACGCAATCGCTCGATAACATTCCAAAAGGTGCGCTATTTTTGATCCCCAGAATGTCTTGGCATCGAGGATTAGGGAACTAACCCTATACGCGTCCCTTGCCGCATTTACTTGGTCTACGCAGAGGAAGAACGGGCTGTTCAAAAAGGCGTATGAGCTGGGCGTGCTGTGTTCGGTCGACATCGCGGTCGTCATATTCGGTGCGTGCTTGTTTAGCGCCCGTGTTGCAGAGGGAGGGTTGACTGAGTTTTGTGGACAGAGCGTACCAAGACCGGGGAGACGAAATGCTACGAGTACTCGTCAGACGATCTGTCGGACATTGTCATGAGACGCATGAGTGTGCGTGCCTCTGGTTGGTCGTCGCGAATGGGCGCTAATAAGTTTTTTCCATAATAAGTTCCAAGGTTCGAAGGAAGTACGCTCGCCACGAGACTTCAAGGACAACGTCGCTAAGGACGAAGACGAAGAAGATGAAGACGAAGATACGCATGAAGGCGACAACAAAAAATTTGGGATGGCAAAAGGCAAGGCGAAAGCAAAGGTGAAAAACACAACTGCCACATCCGAAAGCCCTGAATCCAAGGTAACACCAATCGCCTTCTGAGTCCTAATTGCAGCTTTGTCAACCTATACTGATTCGAATCTCAGCCCCTCGCGTCTCCTCCAGAAAACGCCCCTCAGCCGCACAACCCCCTCTCCTTCCCCTTCTCTGCCGAGCGCGGCTCCGCCTTCCCCCAACCGCCCCCCTCCTCCAACCCCTCCTTCACCCCCGACCTCGAGACCATCCGCTGGCTCGCGGGCCTTCAAGCCCAAGCCAGCGCCGCCCAAACCCCACACCAAGAGCCTTGGCTCCCCACCTTGCCGCCGTCCTACTCCGAGTCGACCACCATGGCCATTCCCCGCCTGACCCACCCCGGGTTTCCCGCACGGAACCCGCTTTCGCTGGCCTTCGACGAGCTCGGGCTCTCTCCTTCGTCGTCGAGCATGCGCCCTGCAGTGCCCCAGTTCGATTGGCCGATACACCAGCCGGACGTGCAGCACATCTCCAAATTCGCGGGTATGCTCGAGCTCGGCTGGCCATTTAACATCCGCTTATTATTCGTTTCAGCGGCGAAAACCTCGTCGAGCGCCCCTTTTGCGCATCAGCCGCCCATGCCGGAGATCCCGGACATGTCGTGGCTCGAGCTCCTCTCCGCTGCGCCGTCGCACTCCCAGCCCTCTCCTCCTCCTCCGCACCCGACTCCGACGTACCTGCATCACGACGGACTGGCGATGCCGCAGTCTGATCATGAGTCTGAAAGGAGTCGAAAGCGGCAGAGGGGGGATGGGGATGCATTCAGCTGACATGGTTAAGAGTGGAATGGCACGCATCTTCTTGGTGGACGTTGACGAGGTGTACTATAATGGACCTATAAATATAAAGATATCTGCGACATTTACTGTGGATTCCTCTTGTGTGTAGTATATATTTGCTAGTATGGACTGGACGGAAAATACCGTGTCTCCTTGTTCCCGAGCTTGTCTATTGCATGAAGAATGCATCTCCTGCGAGCGAAGAGCGATATACTTATGCCGACTGTCTTCCTGTTTTATAATACCTTGCGATTAACAAGGTTTGCACGTCGGGGATTCAGCCATAAAAAAGTATTTGTTTATGATTTCTGGCGTGGATACCGAATTCCGTCGAAAGTTTGGCGTGTCTTGTCGTTGCTTGTCGTGACCTGTATCTTTGCTTCATTCGATGAAAATCTCTAATTACCACTAGCAAGGTTACTGCCACTTTGGGGTTTCGGCCATAAAGACTGTATTTATTTGGGTTTGTTTGTGGCAAATGCGTCTCTGGAATGCACTGTTCCTTGCTCTCGGCGCCGAGGCTTATTGTTGTATGCTCCAGACAACTTGAAGCCTTTGACCTGCAACACGCAGTACGCTATAATAGACACCCAGACAGTGGCAGATCTAGAGAAAGAGAGCCGCAGCGTCAAGTCGCGAGGTATACGCCCAGTGATATATCGATAGCCGGCGCTTCTCGAGTAATGGCAATTCTGTGGCGGGAGACAACGACATATCATGGGACTGGCGGAATGCATGGCTAAATATAATCTTTCTGTTACCCCTTCTGACCACACTCAAACAGCGCAACTCTGTGACGGCCCCGTGTGTCGTACTCCCGGCCCCAGTGTAATGAAAAAGGGCGTGGCAGACGAATGGGAATCAACAAAAAGGTGTCGTTACTCGCCTTAATCACACAAGACCATATCTGGCTCCACTATTCTAACCTCTCTATACTAGTAAGTAGTGTCACCCGCGGCTGGCGGGCCCATAACCTACTACCCGGCAGTGTCCGGCTTGAAGACATACCTGGACAAGGGTGCGTCATGGTCTTTAATCAGACCGGAGCCAGTGCACTATGTAGTATCTTTGGAATTCGACAACTAAAATCACATCAGACTTTCGAGAAGGGGCCAAAGTTTCTCCGAATCGTGGCTGGGACATATAAAGCAGCTGTCTGCGCGTCGAGCTTGACAGCTCTGTCTCAGCATGGGAGTAGCGCATTCAGCCCCGTAAGTCACGATTTCCATCTCCATATGCTATGCAGGTCAGTTTCGGGTTGTACCACCGCGATTGCCTCTCCGAGCATATGACTGTCACTTCGTCCACCTGCGCGTCCACTCCACCGAAGTGACTCACAGCCTCCATATAGTCAGTCTCAGTATCTGGCGCCTGACCATAGCGAATACCCTGGGTGTACTCAGTATGATGGGCTTGTCCCCCTTCAACACCCGGACTTCCGGTATTCCAGGTGTACTGGGCGGAAGAAGGCTCTATGTGTGAGTAATCTCTAGGCTGCAACCGCATGCATACCCAGTTCCCGACAGATCGGCATAGATTATACTGGTCAGCCCGACATAGAGCTCCGAGGTTGCGTGAACGATGCTAAGAACATGTTCAATTTCCTTCAAGGTACGTGATCATGAATGTATCACAGCTACAATGTGGGTGCAGAGACAAGTCTCGTAGAGAATTACGGCTTTCATAAAAAAGACATGGTTCTTCTCCGAGACGATGCTCACTATAGTCGAGATATTCCGACGAAGGAGAATATACTCAATGCAATGAGGTGGCTCGTCAATGATGCACAGCCTAATGACTCATTGTTCATACACTGTACGTGAGCGCGGCTTAATGGATGCTGATGCTCATCTGGAAAATTAGACTCAGGCCATGGTGAGCAGACTAGAGATCTGGAAGGTGATGAAGTCGATGGTCTTGATGAAGGTGATACTGCCACCTTTGAACTACTAGTAAGGATGAGACTCACGCAGAGCGACTAGCCATTCTCCCGCTTGATCATCAAAAAGCTGGAATGATCATAGATGATGTGGGTGCCCAGTCATGACAATTTCATTCTAAGATGAATATCGAGAACAAAAGTTGATGAACGAGATGATGGTTTGTTATTTGCTAGCATTTGTGCAATATAAATGCTAAGGGTGGTGGAACAGGTGAGACCCCTTCCGAGGGGATGTCGCCTGACCGTAAGTATTACTCGAGCAGCAAGTGAATCAAACCGGGCTAACTGTCGTGTATCTAGGCCGTCTTTGACGTGAGTGACAACCTAGGTAAATTACTTGTCACCTGACGGGAATGTGGCCAGTCTTGCCATTCAGGAAGCATGTTGGGTAAGCTGATCTACTCACTCTGCTTCTACAGGTTCTCACCTTTTTGTTAGACCTTCCGTTCCAAGTGGGTATTCAGGTGGAAGTTGAGCTTTTGGTTGATACCCAACTTGAATGGTCTGCCCCAGTATAATTCAGGTGGGGGGCTCAAACCAAGCCAGGTCACTCCTGGCTTCCGTAAGGCGCGGTCGACTCCCGCTGACGTGGTACGCATACTATTAAATACCATGCTCGTAGTTCCGGTGGTATGCATTTGTGGCACAGGTCTCCTTCAGTGGATGCAAGGACACAGAAACGAGTGCTGAAACGTGTGAGGAAGGGCTCTTCGTGGGTGCCATGAGTTACGTACGTGCTATTTCCCTTTTGGCGCAGATGGGCCATAACGAAGCTTAGCAGGCATTTATATCATCCCTCAGTACCTCTAGATGCTGTTTGCCTCCATCACCGGTGTTTGACCGGTCTGTTCATAGGTCAGAATCCTCATCAAACCTACTCACAGCTACTCAGATCCGTCAGGTGAGATATTAAAGACCAGATGAGATGATGATCTAATCTTCGTAATACAGAACAATCTTGGAAAAGAAGTATAGTCAGAAGCCTCAGTTGTCGAGCTCTCACCAATTGGTCGGTTGCCAGTCTAGATCTTGTTCTTAGGCTCTGATGCTGATCCGTTGCCATCCAATTCAGGACACCCGTCTAAAGTTCATCATCTAAGCTTTGCATATTCGTCGCTACGAGTCAAGCTGTACTCGTCGGTTCTTATATTTGCCTCGCAACCTGGTTGGTTGTGTTACTGTTGCATCCTCCTCATCCTGATCCACATACGGCACCAACGTACCTGTACTACAACAGTTTCGCGATCCCGTAGACCGATCATGAGCTTGGAAGGGGCCACAAGTAGCCAAGTATGGATGGGACAGGGGCAGGTTTAGCTGCAATCACCTATGATTTACAGCAGCATGGCTGATCTTCTTGGGGGACGCTGACACTTGGGCTATGATTCTGACAGACTGTTGCACAGCAAATATCTATTACCGGGATCTGAATAACAGCGGTTATTGCTTCTAGTATACTGATGTCATGGACAGAAATTTGATAAGTGTATGCATGGACACTCTCTTGCTGGATGAATATGATTGGGTAATGAACCGATCGCTGAAGCCGAAGAGCTTTGCAAAGAGAAGCGGGAAGGCGGGATTTCTTTCTGGAGAGTCGACGCACAGCCATCAAGTCCATACCACAGATGATAGAACAGGGCAACCAGCTGCACGCTGAGAAAGGGTGGAAACACAGACGAACAGTTGAGTGCGATACTTGACCCATGTCCTGCTGGAGTGGGATTGCGACGCCCCATCCGGGCCGCGACAACAGGACTCCCGTTACCTCTGGAAACCCTCCTGCAGTGCTGGACATCGATAGAGGTAGGTCAGAACGATTCTAGGCTTCGACCTCGGCTTGATCATCCTCGGAATGTATGTATGTGTCCACTGCGAGATCCAGGCACAACTCGCACGACAAAAGTTTTGTGGTTTTATTGTGTCAAATTTGGATACGATTATCGTAATACTTCACACTGTTCACTGCATACAGTTTCGACATACAATTTTTCTCCTTGCACAGGTCGAAACTAGGGTATGGTATTTCGACCTTTGTTTCAACCAATACTCGCTTTCGACCGAAAGCAACCAAATTACGGTCGAAAGGGGAAACATACGATTACCGGTCTAATTTAGGCCGGGCTCATGTACACAGTGCTGCGATGTCTAACCGCGTTCTGCAACAATTCGAGCCAATCATCGCTAGGCAGCCTCCTAAGTCCTGCGGAGGGCAGAGAAGCGGTCACTTCCGACTCGCTGTGGCAACACCGGCACGTGACCATGCTCTCGCGAAGCCAATCACAGCTCACTAAATCACTTACAGTAGAGAAGTTAGAACTCGAAGTTTGCTTCAAGTACTACACGCCCATCCTGGGAAAATGTTTCAAAAGGCTCACAGACAGGGCCTGCCGGGGCACAGCCATGATGTCGTCTTGAGATTGACCAGTCGTTGCTGTAACCTAAAAACGGCCAATCGATTCGAGCTCACAAAATTGTGATGTCGATTCGAGCTCATAGAGTAACCTTCACGGTAGGTTTGGCGCCAGATGTCTGATCGACAATTCAATCATCTCATGGCGCTGTCGGAAGTATTGTCGAGTACATCTCCTGTGAGTGTGTACACCATATACGACAGCATATAAAGGTGTTCCCCAAAGAGCCTCGCATTTCTCTCTTTGTCATATCTGACGGAGCCCAGGGGATGATGCATTCAAGGTTAGATGGAAGACTCGGACATTGATAGTTGCAATGAGTGTAATTAATGTACTGATAAAAATTACTCTAATTAAATTGAATGTATGGCCAACTGGCATGCACTCCGTAATCATTTCGCCGTTCCCCAACCCGAATCCGACCACGACTTCCTAGCCCGAGTCATCATCACTCTGCTCGGCACCATTGACAGGAGCGCCTTCGGTCCCCGCGTACACCCCCTCGCCCATGCGCTGAGCGGCATTCATGCAGGCACTCTTCAGTGTATAGTCGACATCGACATCACCGTATACTTGACGATCTTGTGAAAGAATCTTGGCGAATTTGCTATGCAGATATCACTGAGCAAATCACGGATTCGAAAAGCTACGAACTAACCTCGATATCTTCTTTGGGTCATTGGAAAGCTTGACCCGGAAATCCTTGAGTTTCTCATCGGCACTGTCCCAGTATTTGTCGCCCGCGTCGGGCTGCCCGACATAGATGAGCCTCTGTATGGTAGCCATCAGCTGGCCGCGTGATGACACAGAGAGAAAGCAACCTACAAGAAACGCGACCCTGGCACACATCGGCACAGTAATGACAATCTTCGCAGCCTTGAAGACTTTCGCTACTAGCCCTTCACATAAGGCAAGAATATCATCTGCATCGACACGCTTCAGTTCTTCCGGGTCCTCGGCGGTCGTACCAATGCTCTCTGCAATCTATGTCGGTGTGTGGGATACATCAGCGAGGTTAGCATGGTAATCAGGCAAACAACATACAATCTTCTTTGCTGTATACCTTCGTGCAGTTAGCTTTGCCGATATGAATGAGATCACGATATTGTATCGATATGGGTTCTCTTTGACATCTTGTTTGTAACCCCAACTGGGGTAACGTTCAAGGATATCCTGGGTGGATGACCTGTGAGATGATATATGCAGCCTGATGCTTTTCACTTACGATTAAGACCTTCCGTGGGGCGTCGTCACTGACATATGCGGAGAGCGTCGGAGAGAGAATAACAACGGCAGAGTAGATATCGATCTTCTTCTGCATTCACAGAGCATATGATGCATCAGTCCCGTCTGACTCTCGTGACAACACCAGCAGTATTACTGGTACATACCTTCAGCATCACTGGCAGGTCCCATTGGGCATCAGGTGCTTGAAGTTGGCTGACTGTACCCTGGATGGACAAAAGAGTCGATGCAAGCCATATGTCCTTCTCACCACGCGAAAGCTATTCGAAAGAGAGGAACAGGCGTGACGCGATGTTAACACAAGAAAAATGTTCTATAAAAAACCTTTGAATATGAAACAAGCTCATCGCTGTCCTCAGGGCGCAATCGCTTCCTCCTCGCAACACTTTGCGCGTACTGGGAAAAGTCTTCCATTGGTCGCTTGCCAGTATGCACCGGTCCTATCACAGTTGAGGGAGCAGCAGCATCTGGACTTGGCCCGCAAGGTGAATCAGACGTTCTCCGGGGCTCACCACTTGGAATGGGAGGGCTGGACTGCCTGTTGAGCATCTCGTCAAGTGTGAGCATGAGCAAACTAAATGAATGCAGTAGATTAGTAGAAAAAGAAAGAAAATCAAGAAAGATGAAGAGAAAATAGAGAAAGACGTCGAGGGAGAAACACAGACAGAGGCGACTTGTACGAATTTGTGAATTCCAATTCGGTCGCTTGGGGCGGTCACGTGTTGACTTCGGGCGGCGGGAAAGAGGATGCGGCCAATGCGACCATGGGCACTGCAAAGGCTTCAGTTTAGGTATGCCGCGAGCCATTGTTATACCTGAAGGCGAGTCTGGCGGGCGCATGCTTACCAGCTGGACATTGATCATTAGATAGGTTTTGTGGAATATACACAGGACCCAACGAGGTTCAAGTGCGTACTTTGCTCGCTGCGTCTACATCAAGATGTGCTGGTCAAGAGAAAGACAACCAGCTTGAGGGACCATCTCCTTACGGATAAACATGAGAAGTCTAAACCACCTACTGCTTCTGTTGTTTCGCCTCCTGCAAGTGCACCTAATCCGACCACAAGTGCACCTTTGAGACCAGCTCTCCTGTCGTTAGGATCCATTCTTGAGGATTCAGATAATGAAGATGAGGTCGAGCATTCATCGCCTGCGGGATCCCTATTGGATAATATGATCATCGACGGGGATGAATACTTCCATTGCGATGGCGAAAAGATGCTCTTCTCTGCAGGGGGGACCAATGATGCGGATGACAGGCGTCGTCATCTGTTGAATCAGCAGATGCAATCGTTGGACCTTTGCGAAGATCATACCGTATTTGGGGAAGAGCCTCCTCCAGAAGATATCGAAGAAGACCCTACAGTGCCTGATGTCGTCCGGGCAATGCGTCTCATGGGTGAGAACCCGGAACATACAAGATCTTGTCGAGATGTGCTAAGCCTACATTTGGTTGGTCAGGTGTGGACGAAGATGATGAAGACGAAGACGATGAGCCTACGAAACCGGGGTGGGTACCACAGGATGGCTGGCAGCCGTATCAGTCAAAGACGGTGGGTCTCTGGCCATCTAACTTGAAGCTGATACTTGATCGAGATCACTCACAGATGTTTATGCTGGATCTCCTTGACAGCCTGCCGCGCCTGCGTCTGTCCGATGACCACATGATGGCGGTCTTATGGGTGATGCGCGAGTGTGGGACTCCTGACGTACCGTCATTTAAGTCGTTACGTGCCCTGCAGACCAAGCTAACGCAAGACACTGGACCTAAGACAGAAAACCACACATCGTCACTCGGAAACCACTTCTGCATGAATGATCCCGCCGGTCTCTTTGCAATGGCAGTATCACAGTATGTTGCGAAGTTACATTGAAAGCTAACTGGTTCCGACAGGATTGGGCTAACCCCCTGGTGCGAAAACACATGAATCTATATCCAGAAGTTGCCAGGAAAGTGTCAGAAGCATGGCAAGCAGGAAAATGGACCGAGGAAACAGACCTAGACCTCCTGACACCCATGTGGGCAGACAGTCAGGCCCCTCACCGCCATTTCTATGTTAAGGAGGTTGCACGTTTGCGAGATGGGCGTCTTGTTATACCTATCCGCTGGATCAAGCAGAACGGGTCCATGTGTGCTGATGTATGTGAAGTCAGTCACGATGAGGTGGTAAGCCTACCATAATCTGGTTATTGTATTACGAGAACCCAGTTTTGCTGCAGATGGGGATAACGAATACAGATTTTGAGATGATTAGCCGCGTTAATGCATCAGAATTTGAAAGCAATTACCTCGATTTGACTGAGTCGGAGGAAGCCCTTGACTTTCATTTCTCAGGTAGGTTCTTTGTCCTGTTTCTGCGGGAGATGTTCTTATTCGATGTCACAGCGACCGCACCCAGCTGGGCCCACGAGATGCCGCATCCCATACGCAAGGTTGCAAGAGGTCGGGCAGCATTCACGGTCTTTATTACGCCATGGAGCGACGACGTGTCGGGCAACGTAAGCAAACAATTTAATCCACATGTAAACATGTATCTTGCGAATAGTGGCCTGCCGCATCAAAAGCTTGCCCAGGAGTTTTTCGTCCGCTTTTGTTCAACGTCCCCCCATGCGTCATCCTCCGAGCAGTTGGGTGCGCTGTCGGAGAAGATGTAAGCCAATAGACATAATACAATGGCAACCTTACAAGTGTTGCATGCAGGAAACCTGATATTTGGTACACTGCATATGATTGTCTACTCGGAGAAGAAATCATCTTCCGGATATTGCCCTATACTTACCCTGCCGACAATCCTCAGCAATCGGAGACATGTTCACACATCGGCATGCATGGGAATCTCTTTTGCCGTCGATGCAAAGTCGGAGGGAGTGCGGAAGAGAAGGAGACCTCCGAGGGATACCAAGCACTGTTTAAGGTGAGTCCTCCATCATTGAGGTGCCGCAGCTAAGTACGTGACTGTTACAATGATGCATGGTCAATCTCATAGCCAGGAGTTCCAAGATCGTGCACTGAGACAGCCGCGGTCGTGAAAAATCAGCTATGGACTGCGTGCTTGGGCGTCCAAGAAGCGGTGGATACCATTCAGACCCGGACAGGTGTAAAGGACAAGATCGCGTCGTTCTGGATAGACCAGTGTATCACAAAAGCACGCAGTCTTCAAAGCGAACGACTTAGTATTGATGCACGGCTAAAGGACAAATCATTAAAGGGCGACGCACGGAAGCTTGTCAGAAATGAGATTATCTGCATTATCCAGGGAGATGTTTTTGAGTGGCTCCTGAGTCAACCACCAGAGCGATATAATGTGCTACCAATTGACTCTCGTACGCATTTGATGGGGACTCTAGCGACCTGCTGCAAGCTAAACTCTGTTTCCCAGCACTTCGGCACTGCTTGAGACCTGGCGATCATTATAATCCAGCCCTCGTAATGCCTGGTATGCACTGCTGTTCTCTTTGGCCCTGCATATGACTGACAGATGCTCTACTGTCTTCCTATTAGGAGTGGACATACACGAAGCGACACCGGTCGAGATTCTCCATACTTACTTACTTGGACAGGACAAATACATCTGGTATGCTACTCACGGCGGCTGGGACGACAAGAAACAACAGCTATTCACTCTCCGTCTCCAATCATCAGCTGTGGACGGCTTGGTTCTACCTCCGATTCGGGCGAGATATATGGTACAATACAAGAATGCGCTTGTCGGACGTCACTTCAAAGCATTGCAGCAGCTCGCGATATTCCATCTGCACGGTGATCTATGCTCTGATCTCATATTCCAATTGTGGTCGGCGACGGGAGACCTCGGCGCATATCTTTGGTACCACGAGATCAGTGATATGGATTCATATCTGGTATGTAAATTCACATTTGGTAGCACTTCAAATCAACTTAAAATATCTGCTGAACCAGGCTGACTTATCAATCCTAATTGACAATGTCCTGGACCTCTGGGCTCTGATCGATCCCACCCGTATAATACAGAAACCAAAGCTACATGTCCTCCCCCATATCTTGGAAGATATTCGACGATTCGGGCCAGCACTGCTTTTCGCGACGGAGATCTTTGAATGCTGGAATGCCATATTCCGGTTATGTAGTGTTCTCTCTAACCACCAGGCTCCCAGCCGCGACATCGCTCTGACGCTGGCGGACATGGAGCGCTTCAAGCATCAGGTTAGTGGCGGCTGGTGGAGAACCGAGTCTGCTGAATATGTACAAGCGGGTGAAAATGTACGCACGTTCCTCGAAGGGAATTCACAGTTACAGAGGCGCCTCGGATGGGTCAACAAGTCTTCCCTTTGCATCGGTGCGACCTGTCTCAAACCTTTCGGTGTCTTACTTATTTTGTATTGTAGGCTCCGTGAAGATGATAGCAAGGCATAAACGCTCAAGCAACGTGTGGCGCGAGGCCCTTGACCAGTCAGGAATTCCGTACGTTCCCGAGCCCGGCATTGGCGGACGAATGTGGGAGCAAGGAGAGTACTGTATATCACGCTCACGAGATATCTGCCGCGGCGGGTCCTGGGTATTTTACCGTATCGCAGATGTACGTTTACTAACTATCTATGCAAGGCAGTGCCCCGACTCACCGTTGCTCATCAGAGTCCTAACCAGGAGGTCACTTGCGGTCGCATTTGCAAGATTCTCGCTCCTGAGACACCGAAGACCAGCTGCGATGCCGGTTTCACCCTTTTAGAGCGCTTTGCCATATCCAGCGTCGTTCATCCGCGTCTCAAAATGCCTATCCTCACAAGACCCCCAAGCGGGCCGAAAACGGCTTCAGTCGCGTCTGAGTACTTTACTCCGGTTCCTTATTCGGTCCCTAAACATCTGCCCCAGGACATTTTATTCCTATTCAATGCACAACACGACTGCGCCGAAGGTGGGTGCGGTCCGACAGGTTTGCGCTCGGTGCAGCAAGAGCGCTGCCCGACGGACTTGCAGGAACGGTGCATCGTACACAGGGACGATGACCGATTTATCTTGAACATGCACGCCATCCACAATGCCGCACTGATTCGAGAGATATTACCTCGGCCACTGACAACCCCACGCCATTATCTTCATCCAGACCGGCCTGCAAAGCTTGCCGAAATCGCTGAGGGGTTGCGGATATCAGGACCTGCAAAACGTGCTGAAACCGCCGCAAAAGCAGCCGCAACGAGAGCTCGTAATAAAAGGGCTAAGGAGGCACAGAATCTCACTCAGGCTACTGTCGAAATGGCGGCAGACTCCACTGCTGATAGACAGACTTAGTATGAGCAACACATAGCTTTGTATTACATAGAATGTATACTATGAGTAGATGGTCACCATGACCTTCCGTGTCGGAGGTAGGAAGGATGTCTATTAGGAGGTCGATCCGACATCAATTTGAGGACAACGACATCTCCATCGGCTAGGTCCGAGTGATCTGGATTGGATATTCCGCAGACGCCCGAAGCAGATGTCTTTTGGAGATCAAAGTGTCGGGATGCCTGAGACCTCAGGCCGGATTGGGCGTGTAGGCTGGTGACCACCCTCTCTATCAGATTGGGGGCAGAATCGTGATAGAGAGGCTGGTCGATTTGGCGTGGGAACCCAGTACACGCGCGGAATCGTCATTTTGCCGAGATGCCGCTGAAATTGCCGAGGTGCCGATATCAACGCGAGCGCGTTTGAAACTCCGCGAGGCCGAGTCTGTAGTGTCTTGTAGTCGCGCAACAAAAGTTTGTAGTCTACTACAAAATTGATAACAAACGCGTCGCGTCGACGCGTCTAAGTCCGCACCTCCCCCCCCCCACCAATGTCACTGCAAACACACTCCCCTGACGATGACATCTTCCAGCGGACTGACAGACTACTGGAGGAAGTGCACCGTCTAATGCCTGGGTATCTTATCTATGTTGCAAGTCAAGTGATTCCGATGGACCTCGCCCCTCAATGTTTTGTTGAATTCTGGTCGTCTCTCTCAACCGAGGAAAAATTGGATGTCTTACGAGCTTGTGTCTTGCTATATGGTTTGACCAGCAGTACGAAATTAATTGTTCCTCGTGAATTACAACTCCGCGGTACTCTGGCAACTATACATAGCCGAAGTTCCATCGTCTATTCTGGCTGCGGTACTGGGAAAACCCTGCTTATGATCTTGCCTGCTCTACTGCGCCCGAAGTCGGTTTCTATGATTATCTCGCCATTGAAACGGTTACAGTCAAACCAGGTATCGGATATACAGGCCCTTGGCATCCGTGCCATAACCGTGAACGAAGACACCCCCAACGACAAAGGACTATGGAAGGTAGCCAGAGAGTCAGCCAAAAACTGTCCATAAAGCAGACTCATTTCATATAAGGCCATTGACGCAGGAACATATAAAGTTATCATTGTATCTCCGGAGCAGCTCGGTTCCCACCATGGACACCTCGCACGTTTTGCCGGCCTCATGCAGAAGCAGCGATTCGTCAAGAAGATCTCCCATGTCTACGTCGACGAAGCCCACCATATTTATACCGCCGGCATGAAGAAACACGGCGAACCAGCATTTCGGCCTGCCTGGGGGGCTCTCGGTAAACTCACGGCCATCCTTACTAAAGGCACTGCCATTCAGATGCTCTCGGCAACATTGCCGAAACATATCTTGGATGCCTGCCGTAGGACCTTTGCTATGCCTCCGGATATGCCCCTCTTTCGAGGACCTCTGCTACGACCGAACCTGGCCTTTGCGACGATGACACTCTCAGGCAACTTGCAAAACTTTCATAACCTGGACTTTCTGATTCCTGCTACCTATGATTCTCAACGTACTCTTGATAAGACTATCATCTTCATTGACGATAGGCTCATGACTGATGCTCTGGCAACATACATCAACAATAACTTACCTGGACCTTCGCGGAACTCTGGAATTGCGAAGCACTATCACGGCGGCGTGTCAGAACCATACCTCAAACAAGTATATGACGACTTTGCGTCACCCAATGGAACATGTCGTATCCTTGTCGCTACTTCGGGCGCCGCCACTGTGAGTCATACCCTCTATGGATTTGGATCATATTTCAATGTTGTCGTGAAGGGCTTAGACGTTTGCGGCATCCATGTGGTAATCCAATATGGACTCTGCGACAATCTCGCGGATAAACTGCAACGTGGTGGAAGGGCCGGGCGAGACGATGACACGGAGGCACTATTTTTGACTATGACAGAACCTTGGGCTCTCAACGTCAAACTTCCTCAACTAGCACCCGGATCACTCATCTCTGACTGTGGCGACAATGAAGACATGGATACACCAGCTTCACCAACAGCTGCAGGTAAGGAAGGACGGGTCGGGAAAGCTGTTATTCGGTATGTGCAGTCGAAGACGTGTCTCCGGGCATTCTGGGCCGAATACTTGGGCGATACATCTCCTATTGGTGTGTCACAAACTGGTCAGGTCTGATACTGATGAGACCCTTATACACCCTCTACGGAAGCCCTGAACTACTCGAAAAAATACTGCTGCGACCGACACGACGACAACGAGTTCGACCTCTCAAGGTTTGTTCCGGGAGAAGTATGGGCACCCTCAAAGGTGACCAAAGGCAATGCAAAACGCAAGAGGTCACCCAAGCTTCGTAGGAAGGACGAGCGGCCTTTGCTTGAAGATGACCTCCGAAAATGGCGAAGAGACATTTACAAGACCATGGACTTCGTATTTGGCCCACCTAGCGACATCCTCACGGATGATGGCATCAAGACTCTCAGCAAGACACTTCCCCAGAGTCTCCGGTATCCTGCTGACATTGTCGCAATTTTGGCCGAGGCTGCCGACTGGGCGCAGACATGGAGCAAGCTCGTTTTCGATGTGATCATAGCTTTTGACTCCGAGCAAAGACGGGCCAAACGAATCACTCTGCAAGACAAAGAAAATGAAGTTTCAAGTGACGAGGAGCCTCTTTCCAAGATGATCCACAGAACCGGTGGAGGACGAGTTCAACAAGGGACATCAGAGACGGTATTAGTTGACATGAACAATAGCTGTACATAGGGCATCATTCAGTATAATTTATTCACCCTCATTCGACCCCTCGTGCTCTAATGAAGTGTCTTCTGGGGGCAATGACATTGACAATGCCATCGCTGGTAAGCCCGAGTCATCCGGGTCATCGTCCTCGAAGCAATGCCCCGCTCGCATGTCCTCGAATTTCTTATTAAATGTGCTGATTGTGGCAATGAGCTTTGATCTCCCAGAGCTGATGATGGTAGCCTTCGCCTTCGCATTACGAGTGATATCTTCTGCTTTGGAAATGAAAACCTGTAGCTTACGTTCCTTGATTTTATTTGCGATCCTCCTCACTGCGCGGGAAGCATCGGGGGATAGATGTGTGTTGCCGCGGTACGATATCCCGAATGACATTGCAACTTGTTTCTTCGTACCGTGAATGACAGTCCCTGATGCTGATATGTCTCCCAACCGATCCCAGGACCCATGAATGCCGCGCCGGGTTGCATGTATCTAATCAGAGTGTCAGGATATGCTTCGGGTATAGAAGTGGGTGCATACCTTCTGTTGACCAATATGATGTTCAATATTCAGGTCAATTGCCTTACAGTGGCCCGCACGGCCGGAAGTATTGACTATCATGTTATCCCGCATGACATCTCTATCATAGTCTCTTCAATGAGTCAAGGCTTAATTTTAGTAGAGTGGGTGTGACCTACGCAAATTGAGGTGTCCAGATGACTTTTAGGCCGTGCAAAAAGTGTAGAATTTCGTTTGCATATTTGTTTGATCCAGCACCACGGAATGCACAGGCGAAGGTCCCCAGAACATCTTCTATACGGCCCCAATCGCCTGCTGACGTAGATGTATCCAGCTCCAACACGAGCAGGAGGTCTCGGAAAAGCAGTCTTGTATTTTCTCTAATAATGTCATCTGACTTGCAGGACTCGGGATCAGTGCACGGTTGGGCATGGTGCTAGAGTATCCTCTGAGCAATACTCTCCAGTTGCTCCTTGGATGGATTACTTGCTGCAAAGTCCGCCAGAGATGGGTAGCCACATTCAATCTCCCAAGCGTTTAGGATAAGACCACTCAAGACGTCCATCATGGCTGCAAAGAGTGTATAGAAATCGGGATGCTCTGAACCAAGCCGAGCACGTTCGAGGACAGTGAAGAAGAAGGCAAGACTGCCTTCCTGTGCCAGAGTGCTGCGATGTACATGCAACAATGCCCATATAAAGTTCATAATGAAGTGAAAGAGACCAAAACCCAGTTGAAAGACGTCAAGCCGAGTAAAAGCATTGATATCCCCACGACGCTGGAGTTTCGCACTGCGGATGCGGGCATTTGTGGATTGATCATTGATCGTTGGTATTGCAAGCTCGCAGATCGCACTGGACTCCATGTCCAGCTGCTGATAGTAGGTATGTTCAATAGACCTGACGTTGCCATCGATAGACCCTTCTTCATTCATAGTGGTGCGAAGAGGGAATTCGTTTGTCTTGTGATCCGGAGGCATGCGACGGCGAGGAGGGTGTGGAAATTTAGACTCAAAGCTTTCGCCTTCTGGCAACTTGAAAACTCCGGAGAATTTGTAGAGGCATTCTATGAGGTGAACGGTGAGTTGTTGACTGACAAATTGTTGTTGTTGCTTGGTAGGCCGGACGTGCTCCTCGTAGTCAAGCTTCTTTGCATTCCTATACCGCTCCATGATAGGAACAAGCAACATCGCGTCCCTCGAGGCATTGCGCAGTTCGTATAATATGCCAAATGTGCCACACTGTACCTTGGCGGGACCATCTTCACGTTGTTCAACGTGAATTGACGTGCTGATTTGCACATTGTCATAGCAGAAAGCATGAGGTCCACGAGCAACAAGGCGCGCGCGCTGTATACAAGCATCTGCGATGTTCTGGACCATATCGAGCGTGGAGTCGAACGAGACCGACAAACTTAATTTCTGCAATATATCGATTGTTTGACGTGAAGCGCCATTAGCCCATAGTAAGAAGCCGTGTATTGCTTGAAAGTGGAGGCTTCTCTGAGATCGATGGTGAGCCATCTGGGCTATAATTACAGAACACAGCTGGTCCTCGTGGTCATGATGGGGTTCGGACAATGGGAGGGAGCGCCACGTACCGGTCTCGAATTCTTTTTGCTGTCAGATTTCATAGCGCCAGAGAGCAATTGAAATAGAACGGGTGCCGACCGTTCCGCGAGACGAGCGACATTGTCTTCAATGGTCCATTTCTGTAACATGCTCGGAGTAATGTTGGCAATCGTGGTATTGAAGCGTTGACATATGGTCCCCGCTTCATGGCGAATGATCTTTGAGACGAGATCAATGGCATGCGGCTGCATCCAGTCGGTGAGTGCTCGTCTTCCATTCGGATCTGCCATCACTAGATCTAATAGCGCGTGTAGACGAGGTTCGTAGTTCTCTCGACCGTACAGGTAGCTTCTATATCTGTCGTATTCATTATTGCTGTCCTGCAAGACAGCCGCGAACAGGTCCCATAGAGAAAGGCGACCTTGGCGAAGGGTATCCAGTGCAAGTTGCATCCATTCTCGCGGTGATGTACGTTTATTCGTTTTCAGAGGGACCGCATCGTGGTCATCCTGAGAAGGGGGTGAGCTGTTACTGCGAGCTTCACCCGAGTCTGGTAGAGGTGGACATCGATGATCGGAGTCAATTATGGCAGGCCCTGTGAACATGTCTGGAAAGTCTGTCTTTGAGTCTTTGTCTAGTGGTTCTGGCATTGTCACTCCGGAAGGTACCATGGGTGCCGGAGGTTCGGAACATCTGACATCTGCTGAAGACGGGTACTGTAGACCCGGAGGAATACTGTAAGTCTGGTGGAACGGTGGATACAAAGGAGCCTGATATGACCCCACAGGAGGATGATACAACGGTACCCTTGGTGGAAAGTGATAATAGGTTGGTGCGGGAGTCATGTAAAACTGAGGCGGAGGGTATCCATAATATACCGGAGGTACAGGGAGCCTGCTTGCTCCATGATACTGCGGCGTTGCGGAGATTCGTTGTGGATTCACGGGTGGGGTATACCCACTTTGCATGGCAACTGCAGCAGCTGCTGGTCGTCGTATATTCGCAGAAACTGCGCTAGGCATAACTCTCTAGTGACACTACAGCGGGGACTACAAACAGTTTCTAATGAGATCTGCGGATCTTGAAAGTTCGATCTCAGTTTCATATATGTGATCTCAGCTCCAAAATCGCCCTCGGGATCTCGGCAAAATGACGATTCCGCGCGTGTACTGGGTTCCCACGCCAAATCGACCAGCCTCTCTATCACGATTCTGCCTCATTCGTGATAGAGAGGGTGGTCACGAGCCTATTCAAGTACCGGCACTGCCGATTTAGAGTCACTTGTGCTATGTTATCTAAGCGGTCTTCTGCACCAAGCAAGTACTGTGTTAGCCATTGCTAAGGCTTCAGCCGACTTTTGGCCCAGCGCTACCTGCTTACCAGTAAGTCACCTACCCACAGACCTGCATTCTTTGATTGCATCCCCCACTTATCGCAGTGACCCTGGCACTACATCCCGTGAATGCGGAGGTGGTCAACTTCGATCGATCAGTTTTTCCCGGAGCCTAGTCTGTAGGATCATTGAAGACATAGTCTCTCATCGTCGCCTCAGCCGTCGACTCGTTATATCCCCGGAAATGATGCTCGGTCTCATGATTGGACGAAGTAGTACCATACCATACCTTATAATCATTCTCATACTACTAGGTGAACCATTACATGGGCCCAACGAGATATTTGCTGGATGTCTTGCTGCCTGGGTATTTGTCGAAGCAACTGCCGCCCTCCGTGACTCCGGAGGTAAAGAGAACTGATCTGGCGACTCAGGGTGAGAACATCAGGGGCGGTATCTCGTTCTCTTCTTTACTGATGATGGTAAGGCTCCGTCTATTCTTCGGTCGATGCTTGATTGGACGTGGCTAGCCGTAGTGGGATAAATACCCCTGATACAGTTCCCGTGTCTTGTTCGCTCTGTAGACCCAGGTCGCAGACACGATGACAGGTATCGAACCATAGGCTGCACTTCACTCGAAGCCGTTTCTCAGGGAATATAATTAACTGGCAGCAGCTTCAATCTCGCGTCCATCGTATCCTCTTCTCAGTTGGCCGGTTGACGAATCGTCTTCATCGCTTCCACAGACTTATACATAGCTTTCCACTGATGGTTGTAGGGAAGACGAAGTGCCATATAATGGCATGCACATGTGCAGCACCCCTCGCTCATCTTCGTGAAGCATGCCCTTTCCGCCGGATAAAGCGTACCTTGTGGGCTTCGCTGTGGAAGCCGTCCTCTACGGTGAGCTATCCCCGACCGGTTCATCCCAGCATCTGAACAGACTTGCATTAAGGGCTGTACGGGCCTCTCTTTGTTCTGTCAATTGTATTTCTGGGATGGCGACGCAAAACTACCAAGGTCAACTGGGTAATGCTGGGCTCGAGCTGCGTGCTGTTCGTCAGCGCGACGATCCACTTTGCCATGACCTTCAGCAACGCGGTTTCGATATTCGTAAGTATTCAAGTCTTTATAAACGAAAATGTTGAGCGTAGGCTTGTTGAACATTTCCACGTTGTAAGATAACACGCCGCGATGAACCCGGCGGGCCGCCACGTCTCCTCCAACTCCCGTACTACGAGCTTAGGTCTATTACCACGATGTATGTTTGTGATATCCTGGGAGATATCGTACTAGTAAGTCCTCAGAATTGCTGGTTTGGGGAACGGTCCCACTCAGTCGATATGTTAGCTGTACAGGTGTTGGTTGGTGTGGGAGAAGAAGATCCTACCGATGATCCTGCCGCTGCTGTCAATCATTGCGCTTCTCGGTGAGGACTCTGTGCATGCTCTCCACTATACGATATTTAAAATGCATGTCAGTAATATCCATCATGGGCTCCGTCCAACTAAGCCACGAAGCCCTCTCCCGCGGCGCCTTCACCACTGCCCTCGGTACGGTGTCCGAAATCTCCCTCTTCCTCTCCCTCGGGACGAACGTCCTCATTACGCTCCTCCTCGCCGGGCGGATATACTACCTCGCCTGGAAGCTCCACCGCGGCTTCCCGAAGTCGCAAAGGAAGAAGTACATGAGCACCGTGGGCATCATCGTCGAGTCGGGCGCGCTCTTCCTCGCGGCGCAGGTCACGCTCGTGGCCATTTTCGCCGTGCACAGCTCCGCAGTGTGGATCCTCATCAACTCGGTCGCCCAGCTCTACGTAGGTCCGGTCCTTCCTCTCCGTGTAGGTTTCGCTGATCCAGAGGGTGCCGACAGTGCATTGCACCTACGCTCATTATCGTGCGCGTCGGCTTTGGGTGGTCTAACGGGACGCGGAGCGAGCAAGAGCGGGGGTCGACTCGCACTAGGGCCTCTAGCATGCAGGTCTCTACCGCCCTGCGGCCGCCGGCCCTACTTGAGGGCCAGCCATCCACGCCGACACTGGAAGATGGTCCATACGATGGCGGAAGCAAAGACGATCGGAGGCGCGTCGACGGCGAGGTCTTCGTTCTGAAGCCCGTTGACGCTGCGGTGTAGGGACGGGCAGGGCCTCGCGCATCGCGAGCGGTGTCCGTGCATTCGATCCTGTAGACGTGCGGTTTGCCCGGCGTAGCTCGCATACCCGGTTTCAGCCGTGCGGTTTCGCGTTTCGTGTGATCCGAGCCCTATGTATGCGTGCGCTACATGATCGAGTGATTGTTCGCATTCGCGGACCCCCTGTACGTCGGTGTGCAGATGTTTGGTGGCGTAGTTCTCCAGGAGACCTAAGGCACGATGGATAGCGCTGGAAGCGTGTCGACTCCCCGCTACTGGAAGCAAAAGCATAAAAGACCACGATACTCATGCAAGCGAGGCCTTAAACTGAGTTTCTCCGACGTCTCGGCGATTGTACGCATGCGTCTCGAGCAGGCAGACAGTGTCGGCGCACTTCTTGACGAGTAGCATGCAATCCATCGTGCGACTTTATCCCGCAATGCGGGTAAGATGACCAGTATTAATAAGAGCGCACAAGATGCCAGGTACTCGCCTCTATCGATGCCAGGCTTATCCACATTGTGGACAGCGACATTGCCGCGTCTCCCAGCGCGCCGGCGGGGATTAGCAGTGTTTTTCGAGACGCTTTTAGCGAAGCTGCTGGGTACGCGCGCGACTTTCGAGATCGCGTCTGCGATGGCCTGATTAGTGAATGGTACTAGTGCGAGCTGTAGTTGACCGGTCTGTGTCTCGAGCACATCGTGGGTCGCCTGCAGCAGCTCCTCCTCTTCCTGGATGCTCGTACCATTTCCAGTTCAAGAGTGTGTGTCATGCGCATTGCATGTCATATCGGGCGTACTGGTTCGTTGCGGGGAGTTGTTGGTGCGGTCGGGGGGCGGCCCGGCGTACGCTGATCCGCGCGACGTACCGGGCACACCGCGCCAGGGCAGACGCGGAGGATGTCGTCGAGACGTCGGCGTCTCCACGGAGTCGAAACCCCGTCTCCCAAGTGCGGAGGAGGGCAGGGTTCTGTCGTCCTCCTCATGGCGACCCCGCGCTGCTGATGGACCACCTCGACGGCCGAGGTATCTCTCCGCGTCACGTCGGTCGCGGCCGTCCACGCCCAGGGGGTACGCGCCCAGCGCCCGGCCGAGGTGGCGGGTGAAGTTGTCGAGCGTACGGCCGGGGCCGGTGCGGTTGGACGCTCGCGGTCTACACCGGGAGCGCGCAACTGCAGCAAGTCGATGGGGCGCTCCGAGGCGACGACCGTGTCTAGGCTGTTTTGGAGGGATGCATCATAGAGAGCCCGCCGGTTGGGGTGATAGAGTTACAGGAGGCAGCATAGGACCTTGTACTTGGTGATCCGGCCGTGAATATTGACATACATGGCTTCCAAGCGTATGCATGGGGAGACGCGCACTGCCCTGGCCATGGCGTGAACCTGTGCGATATGTATTGCTGTGCAGTGGCGAGAGACCCGAGCCCGGTTCGCATCGATATTGCCGACGTCGTATACGTATGATAGCAGCCCGAGGCCTGTGGTATGTCAAGGGCAAGTCACAAGATGCCATCACCAACAGTACGCTGCATCATCATGAGAGAATCAAGCCTCCAAAGTGATCGGCCGAATCAGTGTACAGTAGACATCATTTACTGGACTTGTGATGGGGCAGTTGCGTGTCTCGTCTTCAAAGCAGCTCTGCTCGGAAACTCATCCCATCTGCCGGGCCTACATGAGTGCGATAGTGCATGTACTGGTGTGATGGGCTTGCGCGGTGTAGAGTGAGACGCAGCATGGCAGAGAAACATGCGCACCAAAATAACTCAAGGTCGTGCTCGGTCTTGAGATATTCCAGCGAGCTCCATTCACAGGAGCGTTTAGACTCGTTGCATTTGGCTCCAAGTAACAGACGAACCTGTGGCCGTTTCCTTTCTCGACAAGGCATGCCGGCCGGCACTGGCGGAGTTCGAACCATGGCTGGGAGCGGGAGCGTCGCCTCGCACCCGATTGAATCAAGTCGCGATCTGTCCATCGAACCAGCTGGCCACATTTGGCAGCGCGTCCGGAACGCTGTCTGCTCTTCTCGGCGCACAAAGATCCATCGCAATCACCCTCGCCGAAAACGAAAATGAATCATCCCACCCCGTCTATTCCTATTACGACCACTCCCGCCCCCAGGCGCTCAGCGCGCCTCAGGGCGACGACGACGACGACTCCACTGTCTCCCGCATCGACGAAGACCAAACCGTCCAAGACGGCCCCGAGCCATGCCACCGACCGCGTCTCGACGAGGCGCCGCGCGTCGACACGTGCCACACCAACCCCGACGACGAGCGTGAACGACAACGCCGCCACACGCCCGAAGAACAAGAAGCGCCGCGTAAGCATCCGTGTCCTCATCCCGCTGTCAACCGTCTCCTCAGCACCGCTCTTCTCCTTTGTGGCGTGCAGGTCCCGCCATGCGACGACGGCTGCGGTTCGACTGAGAGGGGAGACGCGTCGGGGTCATCGTGCGTTTCGTTTTTTGTAACTCATCGCTCTACGGTCGGGGCTGACAACGACTAGCGACGCCACCGTCGGTGTCGACTCTCCCGATGGCGCGACCGTCCAGACGGCCATCCCCGTCCTCCCCGACCCGCACGCCCCAGCCACGCCTCCCGCGAACGAGCGCGAAAGCGACGATGCGCGGGTACCCCACGCCCACGACGTACAGGAACCCCAGTGCCACGACGCACAAGTGCCCCAAGCCGACGACGTACCGGCACCGCAGCCCGACGACGTCCAGGCACCCCTGTGCCACGACGCACAAGCACCCCTGCTCGCCGCCGTACCAACACCCCAGCCCGCCGCCGTACCAACACCCCAGCCTTCCCCCGAACCAATCCCAGCATCCCAATACCGCGCGAACAAGCGGCGGCGCGCGCCCGAGCAGCAAGCACCCCGCGGGCACAAGCGCAGGCGCCTCCTGGCGCCCTCCGAGCGCGTGAGTCCCCCCGCCCCGCCCCGCCTGCTTTCGGGTCGTGTTGTGTTGTGGCTGATGTTGATTTCGTGGGTGTAGTTCGAGTTCGAGTTCGAGGTCGAGGTCGAGGTGCCCCAGCTGCGGCGGAGCGGTGCCCGCGACGACGCAGATCCCCTGACCGAGGACGACGCGGCGCCCGTACCCGGCGGCGTCGACGCTGGGCTGGGACGAGGCGGGGGCGTGGAGGTTGGGCGGGTAGACGACAGCCCGGAAACTGGATTCGGAGACGACCACAGCCTGGACACTGGGCCGGTAGAAATCCCCATCCCGCAGACCGACCTCGTCAAAGTCCCCATCCCGGAAACCGACCTCGAAGACGACGCCAGCCCGGAGACCGACCTCGTAGACGCCCACCCGGAAATTGGTTTCGTAGACGACGCCAGCCTGGACACTGGGCTGGTAGAGATCCCCATCCCGGAGACTGACCTCGTAGCAATCCCCATCCTCGTTGAAGTCCCCAGCCCGGAGGCCGACCTCGTAGAAGTCCCTATCCCGGAAACCGACCTCGTAGAAATCCCCATCCCTATCCCGGAAACCGACCTCGTAGAAGTTCCCATCCCCGCGCCGGCGCGCGCGCACCGCCGGGAGGCGCCGCTGTGGAAGAGCGTGTGTCGCGAGCGGGTGGGGGTTGTGTGAGTTTTTTTTTCGCGTTTTTTTGGGCTGCGGTTTCGTTTTTGTTTTGATCCGTTTGGCTTCTTCTTTCCCTGTGATTGGCTGTTCGAACGCGAGCGCGCTGACGGTTTGAACCAACAGGGCCGCGCGGTACGGGTACGCGACGATCCAGGCGGTGGTCGCCGCGCAGGCACGGGCGTTCTCGCGGCCTGCCTCGCCGTCGCCGTCCTCCGGGTCGATGTTCCCTCTGGCGCGCGCGGATACCGCGGGTGATCGGGAGTTTAGGAATTACACCGCGGAGTCGATGTTCGAGGGAGCAGGGGAGGAGGGGGACGGGGACGGGGACGGGGAGACGAGTACGGACGAGGAGACGGACGAAGACGAAGACGAAGACGAAGACGCGGAGGGGGATTGGAATATGGATATGGATATGGATGTGCCCGCGCCCGCGAGCAGCAACTTCGACCTGAACCTCCCGCTGAGCTGCGCGCTGCCCGCGGCGTGCATCCGCCTCCCGCGGCTGGGCGCGATCCGCGTGCGGGGCGCGTGGGAGGAGGCGGGGTGTGTGGGGCGGGGGACGCCGGTGGATCGGGTGCGGAGGGGGGAGTGGGGGATCTGCGGCGGAGGGGGCGGGGGTGAGGAGGGAGGGGGGGTGAGGGAGGGGGGCTTGGATGGGGACGGAGACGGGGATGGGAGATTGATGGGCTTGGATGGGGAGGGGGAGGGGGAGGGCGGGTGGCTCGATCCGAGTTTGCGGGCGTACCCCAGTTCGGGGACGTTTGGCCTGGACGCGGGGGCGGGGGGCGGCGCGGGGTGGGAGGCGTGGGCGCTTGTGGGGGAGAGCGCGTTGAGTCGGGCGCTGGGGTAGGGCTGTGGATGGACGGGGCTTGGGTGTGGCGCGCTGGTGTGGTTGTGTCTTTGTTTGCTGTTTTGTTGGGTGATGTCTGGTGTGTATATAAGGGATTGTGTTTGTGCGCTTTGCTTGATATTATGTACTCGCGTGTGGGATTGTTGGTGGTGTGCTGCTACGTATACGTGTCTCTCGGTGGGTGTCATATTATGCTGAATGGGAACTGCATTTCGGGAGAAGGGTGTGTACACGCGGTGAGTAGACTACGTATGGACCATCGCATCGGGGCATGTGCAAGTGTACAGTCCCGGACAAGCAAAGGCAACAAATTGATTTCTGACCGAACGAGATTTTTTGGCGGGAAACCGACTTCCGATTTGGACTCAGGGAGGCTGGAAACATCCAAAAATGAGGTCCCCTTATTTTCCCCACGATCTTTTGATATGGCCAAAATTTTGGGCCATTTCAACGACATTCTACACGGTTACCGGACCTCCCAAGGTCACGCCCTGAGCATTTGGGGACCTGTAAACCCTTGCATGGAGCTGCATCTAGGCTTTCAAAGACTTCGGACCTCCTTCTGAGGCCGCCCACTGGCAAGGAAGTTCAAATCTATGGCACATGTTACCTTGATTTACATATTTGGCCCGCACTTATGAGAGCTATTATGGCATATCGGCTGGTCCAATTATTAGATTTAAGCCGGAATCAGACTCAGCTCATTGAAAGGAGTTGATTGGCATATTTTCCGCATTTTTCCCGATTTGTTTTGTATATGGCCAAAATTTTGGCCCATCCCGACCCATTATTGAAGGCTACAGGGGTTTTATGGGAAATCGGCTCGTGCCAATCTCTTCTTTAGAGTGTAAATCACTCGGTTCTGCAATATAATTGGGGTTCCCACGGCTGCTGGACCTCAGGAAATCCGGTCACCGAATTTGTTGTCTTTGGTTGTCCGGGACTGTACATACAGTGTGAGGCGCTCAGAACCGACCACTCGGCAATAGGCGAGCCGCGGATCCTATCACAGTCGTGAGAAAAGACTTTCAGGTCCCAAAAACTGGACCAATCGATTCCTTTTCGAACCGTCTGATTATTTTCTCGAAATTGTTACTTTTACAGTGCCTTGCATAAGAAACTGAACATCGCATTTCCACGCGCGTTGTTCGTTCGCGCCAAATATACCCTTTTCGGGTAGGTCCGGAAGGCCTCCCGCGGGACCGCTTGCTGGGCAGGGACTGGAGGACACCCCGAGAGGGCTCAAAAGGCTTCAGAGAATGCATGAGATGTATATTCTACAACTACACTAAGAGCTGTAAATCATTATACTCTGCCCCCAGCTGTATGCCTAGCTACCCTCCCTCTTGATGGGTCTTTGCCGCACATTTGCCGATACCCGAAAAGGGTATATTTGGTGCGAACAAACAACGCGCGCGGAAATGCGATGTTCAGTTTCTTATGCAAGGCACTGTAAGAATTTACCCCATCACATATTTGAATTTGGGTCGGAGATGTAGCGGAGCTACCATAAAGGGAATCTTTGTAATCACGGCCAGGTCAGCCGAGCCACGTGCTTAGCCAGGGTTAGGGTGAAGACACCACTTGCTTTGGATGTATGGGACACTCCCTATCTCAGTAATTCCATCGGAGACTCCCATTTCACCATTATGAAACCATATTGAGTGATCAGGAAGCAGCTGGCTCCCAAATACATGAGGTTAGGTTTGGCAACCCCACACTGGGTACACCACCCTTATTGAGCATGCACAAAACTTTGAAAATAACCGGTCAAAGGTCAAACATTTTTCATGATTGTCCATTGCACAGTCAGTGAAACAAATTAGAATAATACTACTTTTGAGTGCGCAAAAATTCAATTGTGACACAGGATATGATCTTTGTTCTGCACTGGTCATTGAACTTTCATTTGTTTTGAAAGGCAACACTATGAACAAATTTTGACCTTTGTCCAGTTCCTTTCACACTTTCTCGGTGGCTCAATATGGGTATTGTACCCCACCCCGGGGCCTCCCGGCTTCTTCAAATCTTAGTATCCGAAGCCATCTACCTCCTATGGGTCCTTAGGTGCGAACGCGTTATCCAACAACGAACCCATTCCCCCAAAGCTATTGCCTCACGTTGGTCCAGAGCAATAAACCGTCACCTTAGCATTGATCACGTCGTCGCCTGTAAACTGAAACGCTCTGAGAAGGAAGTCAAAAAGGTAGTTCGGACCTGGACGCCCGTCCTCGCAAATACAGACCAACTTGATCAATTCTGGGCAGCCCGCCCTGAGGTTTTAGTAGGTATTAGGGCACCGCGGACTCCCACTCAACGGAAGCTCCAAGCGTTCCATCGAGCCCTACACTTCCCGGTACCCACCGGGGGTCGTGCGTAAATGCATTTTCCCTCGGACCAAACGGTATTACCGTTTGCTATAGTAGACTAAGTAGAGCTGGACCTATTGTCGGTAGCTACTTAATCATATTACTTGTCCAAAAAAAAAATATGGGTATTGTACCCAGTGCCATATTTGAATGCTTATGTAATCACCCAAAAAATTGAAAATGCAGGACACCTGACCCTCCCAAAGAACAAGGCTTATAAGAGTGGATGATCGAGCAGCGCGTCCACTCTTATATGACTCAAAATGTGTTTCTCCTAACTCCGGCGGAAGCACCGGGAACACCAGCGGCCTTGTAGGATATAGAGTAGGGAGCCTCCAGGAGACTCCGGCGGTAGCACCGGCCCCAGCGGTAGCATCACGTCGTGGACCAGTGGACGAAAATAGACAGCTGCCTAAAAGGGATTGATGGCGCCCTCCGCCGTAATGACATCATATTGCCGCCGCGCCCGATGCTGGTCGTTGTTGTTCCCGACGACGTCGGCAATAGGTAGCGTATAGTTCCTCAAATAAAATCGTATAAAATGCAATAAATTCTAGATATAATCTACAGCTTAGAGTATGTATGCTGGTGATACAAATAAGGTATGCATATGACACAGTCCCTTGGTATCTATGTGTGCCAGGGGTATACATCCTGGAAAAAGGGAAATTTTCGATTTAGAGCTAGCCCTGAGAGGA